TAACTCCGCTGGCTATTTCAAACAAACTCAATGTCACAAGACACTCAGTTGTGGTACCGTTCCGTATTATTAGAGTCTTGGCATACGGATGTTTTCCGTCCAGATTTCCAAACTAGTGTCACATTTATGATGTTGATGTTTCTGGTCGGACCAGACAAGCTTCGAAAAGCAATCAACCTGAAGATTTGGACAATGCTCTAGAAGCTTAGATGACTAAATAAATGTATAGAAATACATATTGGCAGGTCAGGCGAAGTTTCATCTTATTATGCATAACCGATTCGGCATTTTTCACGCTACCAAACAATTGTCAGCAAGAATGGCTCGAAGACCATTTTGAAAACTGTGCAGGAGCATTTTGATGGTTGCTGTCGGCTTCAGTTTTGCTATGACTTTATGCAACAGTCAATCTTTTCGAAGTGCTAATGCTGCCAACTCGGATTCGTCACAAATGGGATCGGAGCGAATTGCAGGGAACTAGGGGGAAGGATTCGTCGATTTCGCTGGTTTTATGCTTCGACCACTTCGACGATATGAGGAAGTAAGGCGTGTACACCCATATATATTGGACGGTCATCCGGATCTCGCGGGTCGACTACCTCGGAGATTTATGAAACGTCCACATCAATACTATCGGAATCGTCGCTCTAAGAAATCGAGGCCAAAACATGACTCACCTGAAGTAGATGATGATATGGAAGCCACGAAGCGTTTTGACGCTGACTTCAGCAGGACGATGTTGCAAAGCAACTTAATTCATGGGTGTGGGACGGACGTACGAAGATATTTCGATTTATGACGACAACTATATGAACCTATCATATTTTGTGCGAAACGTTTTGGAGATGATGGTTTGAGAAAATTGCTTGTAAACCAAGGCATGAATAAAGTACTTTCCGAAAAAATAAGGGAAACGCAAATGTTATACTTGGCAGAACAACCTTATGTGGAGCCAACTGATGTCCTCAAGCTACTACATGATGACGAAGGAAGATTAGACCAACTGCGAGGATCTTCTTTCAGGGACTGGGATGCATACTGCATACATCGAGATGGATATCAGCTTCTGATCAGGACATGAAAGAGCGCCATAGCGAGGAGGAGATTGCTCGTTTTATTGAAGACCCCGCGAGCAAATTTGCAGAAAGAAAACTCCAGGCGTTTGGGTTGGCGCTGCTAAAGAATACAGTTGAAGATTGAGTCCCTGAAGCCGCATTTTCGTTGATGCAGCTCAATCGCAAGGGTTTCTTGACGAGCCGCTTATTGTCTCCGTGGGTAATGTACTTGAAACGTACGTTAGAGCAGGATGAAGTAACATTTGTGGTTGACAAACTGAAGGAATTGTACAAGTCCAAGGCTGAAGTTTTTACCACGTTAGACGCTGCGGATTCTTATAATAATCATTTGGTGAAATCGTTGCGGGGAGGGTGAAAAAATTTCCGCCAAGCTGGCAAATCTAGGCATTTGATGGTTTTTCGCTGTCTGTTACGAGGCAACTACAAAGAGTAGGCTTTTGAAGATTAGGTATTAGCTCTTGGTCTTGTTTGCTAGCTTCCACTTGTAGTTGCAGTAGCTTAAAAGCGCAATCAAAGTTGTCGCTGTTTGCATTCTATAAGAGCTGTTAATTTACGCAGCAGTGCGACGTAGCGTCTGTCTGACCTTGAAGTTTGTTTGAATTATTAATGAAGGTAAGAAGGCAAACGTTGTTCATATCGATGTAGTTTGCTACATTACCGCCACTTGTCCGCCATATCCAAGATTACCAAGCATACTTCTATTTACTTCATACTCTACACAAATGTAAAAGGTAGCACTTGCATGTATGCAGTTTTGCGCTAGTTTCAGCACCTGGTCTACATATCTATCAGTGGCCTCACACCTCATGACACGAAATTGATTTGTTACTGTTCGGCTACATCGGTGGCTTACCTCACAGCTGGGTCTGCGTCCGTTATCACGTTCTTCTATATCAATGATAGCTCACCGCACCAAGTGCCCATGTGCACCAGCTTGAATCATTCGCATCAATTCCTCAAAACGGGCACGCGGTGTGGGGATGAGCAGTGCACACTTCGCAGCAACAGTAAATGTCCAATAGCTTTATGATTTCTGCACCATTGCACTCTTCCTCAGCCAACGCTTTCAAGTCCCGTAAATGAATCACACACGCAGGTTCGTCCACTTGGTCAAGAAACGGACATGTTTGAAAAAAGGTTACCATGCGCTGTAACGCAGACTGCACATTTGAAATAGAAAGTCTTCACGAAGCACATGGTAGCTTCCTTAGTGTTGGGACTGGGCCGATAGCATCATGAAAACTTGTTGATAGAGACACACAGCATTTGTTCGTTGTGCTTGTGCCTCTGCTGGGTCAGCGATGAGGTCAAAACGCCCTTTCATACCTGCGGCGCACATTGTAGAGATCGCGCAAACGCTTTGCGGCGAAGTGGGCCCATAATAAACAGTGATCGAACCATGCCCAGTTGCATCATGCTTGTTAGAACATCTTCCCACAAATCCACTGCTGCGACATCGAAGTCAAGCATGAGTTGACTAGCGCACCGCAATACACACGGTTCCTTTGAAAGATAACGCCGAAGATAACTGCGTGCTAAAACTGCTTTGTTGCTTGCCATGACAAATCCAAGCCATACGCCACCCAGTGTTCCTCAAACGTCACCATAAGTGTGCAATGCAATGTGTAATTCAGTAGTTCCTGAAAGAAAATGCCGGAGTGTTTAATGCCATACTTGGTCGTAACTTATCGCTTGACAGGTGCTTAGTACAGCTGGCCTAACCTAAGATAACGCATAGCGCCCTCAATTTTGCTCGAAATGTGACACCAGCTCGAGGCCACGATTCTTTTGCAAACTCGACGAGGACGTAGCTGAAAAGAATGTCGCCAAATGAATTTGCCACCCTTTACGCTAGCACTTACCAAGTACAATATCCTCTTCACAAAGTCTTCGTCAGCTCGATGCAGAATTTCATCTCAAACAAATTTTTCTTGGGATCCAATGTGGCTGACATGCATTCGTGTAGTGCACACGTTCGTCACAATATCACTCTACCGGTCTCTATGAAGAACAGGTTGCAGTCAAACTTCGAATCTGCTTGTTTTTCGGATTAATTTCGTGCCCCCTGCAACTACACAAACTCGCGATTGTCATTGCTGCTGTACCTACAACCACGAGCTATACAGCACTGCTCACGACTTTATTTCTCTGGTTTTCTGGCTACTAGAGCGGTTGCTTCCCGACCAAATTACTGCACTTCCGTATGAACTCGTAGCCTGCATCCATTAACGCAGCATTGTTAGGTCAAGGTAGGACACGTATGCGGCAGAAACTGGCCTTCTTTGACTTGTCCAGGACAAGAAAAAAAACGAACAGGCTGAGTGCAGATACACCGACCGATACAGTACTGAGCGACAACATAGCTGGTGGACTGCGTAGATTTGGATAGGCGCTGGGTAGCGTCACAATGATCTTCACCACACGTGTCCGCAGCTGGCTATGGGCATATTGTCACAAGTTCCACCCTTTGTCCGTGGTACAAGAGCTGCTGGATACCTCCTGCTTTCTCGATGGCGTGCTGATAACTTTTGCTTAATACAAGAGAGTGTTACAGAGGCAGCAAAACGAGAGGATTACTCGGCTATCTTGGCACCCCATTTAAATTAGGATTCATCAAGCACCTTGCTGCCACTGACGACATCGACTACCTCCTGTCTCGTTGTACGTTTGCTAGTTCGCAATCCCTATGATTAGCTGCTAACATTGCTTGTGAATGTGATGATACATAGGTTGGCAAAAAAGCGGATGGATGCAACTTTGAATGTGGTAGAGCTTTACTACGAATACAATCCATTAAAAACCTTTCAAAGCCTGATGATAAAAAGATGCTGAAGACTTCTAAAGATAAACAGTGGAAACGCATTAATGAAAACTTAGCATCTTCAAACTTAGCATCTTCAAACTCAGCACACCTTGTACGCTACCGGACGTCAAAGCAATAAAATAGCAAATCATATCAATGTCAAACTATTAAGTCGATTCGAACCCAACCGCAACATCTCGTAAACTCGTATCATGTGGTAATGTCCCTCTTTTCGGTAAAAAATATGCGGAAAAACACGTAGAAGCCAAAGAGCGTGACAATGTAGCCTACCATGAGAAATATTGCAGCCTTTGACATTGGTGCGTCCTCAGAAGCGTGATGAACTCCGGCCTGCACTTGTAGAATGCCACTGGCATTCATGGTAAAAGTGACGGGATGTACAAATTCACCCGCTTTACCAATCTTGTTTCGAGGAATTGCGAAGTTAAAGTAGCAAATGTGATCATTTTCCTTGGCAATCTTCTTTTCACCTTCATAGACCTCAACGGTGAGTCCGCGCTGATTGTCCTCATACGTCTGGAAGTACTTTGTCACCGTCGTTGGGATGCGTGCATTTCGAGGAAGAATCACCTCCATGCTTCCGTCCGCCGTCTCAAGACCAATGGATAATGGAAGGACGTCCATCATAAGCACGTCACGAAATACACGCTTGTCCACGCCACTCAAGATAGCAGCCTGGATAGCAGCTCCCTCACACACCACTTCGTCAGCATTGACGGACATGCAGAGTTCCTGAGGACACATGCATTGGTAAGCTTACCAAAATTTGCTATCAAAACAAGTACAGCCAACTTCAACGCACTTTGCCATCAAAAGCCTCTGAAATCATTGCGCGTAAAATCGGGATTTGGGTGGAACCTCCTACAAGAATCACTTCGTCAATGTCAGCATTTTTCACTTCTGCTTCCTTGAGCACACTCGATACGATCCGAAGGCACCTGCATCCATCGACGGTTCAAACAAGATTAAAGTGTTTGTTAGTAACCGTCCCACACTTGCAAGAGTTACACAACGCCTCTCACTTCTTCCAGATCGGGTCACACAGCTCTTCAAACTTGCGTCGCATGAGAGTGAATGTAAACTTGGGCACAGCCGCAATGTCATGCACGACAATATTCGCTTGCTCCTTTTCCGAGAGTCTGATCTTTGCCTTCTCGACCTCTCTCTTCAGTCTCACCATTTCTCCATCCCCCCACTTGTGCTCGAGTAACATTATGATGCTTGTACAGCACCTCCAGCAAGTGATCTACAAGCATATTATCGATATCATCTCCCCCCAAATTCGTGTCACCTCCAATACCCAAAACTTCAAATAAGCCATCCTCAATGCTCAGCAACGATACATCTAGTGTCCCTCCACCAAAGTCGAAAACTGTCACTAATTTTTTCCCAGACAAAAACAGCCCGTAAGCCATTGCCGCCGCCGTGGGTTCGTTTAACAATCTTACAGCCTTAAACCCAGCCATATACGCACTAGTGAGCGTAGCTTTTCTTTGAGAGTCACTGAAATATGCAGGAACTGTAATGACCACATTGTCAAAACTAACTTGACCGTCAAAATAGCCTTCAGCTGAAGATTTAAGCTCGGTGAGGATACAAGCTGAAATTTCTTCAGGCTGGACATTGACCTTCTTATTTCCTCGAACCACTTGTACGGTCACATTTCCTTGAGCTGAAGGTACGACGTCATAGGAAGCATACATTCTAGCCACTTCAGTGGCTTTGCTTGCAAATTTTTGACCAAGTAATCTTTTGGCCGAGCGAATAGTATTTTTCACAGGTTCCGTTGTCTCTAAACCAATCGCAGCATTCCCAACATCTACATGTTGACTTAATGGATCAAACCTTACAATAGATGGTGTTGTACGACCTCGATCCAAGCGATTCTTTAAAATTTTGACATGATTACGTTCTACGTGCCAAATCCCAACGCCTGTATGAAAATCAAGTCCAAAACACGACATTATATAAGAGCGTAACAATACAATCATACAGCAAAAAGCAATCAATAATGAATAATGTACATGAATTGGTTGTGCCTAGATCAATACCAAGACACATGGAGCCATTAAATTGGTCGACCGAGCATCCCCAAGCATCATAGCTCATATTTGAGTTTTCGTTTCCTCAATTTTGACTTTGGGTTCTAAATTTGGGTTAGGAAACGCATTCTGATTGGCTCATGAATGTCTTTGCTTGTCAAAAACTTGTCCTGACACTTTATTGTCTTCCATTCCTTAGTTTTGCAATGCATTTTTGTCCATGTTGTGGGAATATTTTGCTTGTTGAGTCAGATGTGGGTCAAAGAACTCGTCATCTCTCTCTCTCTTTCTCTTGTTTGTATTCTTTCTTACTAATTATATTTGTTGTGGTGTCTTCTTGTTCCATTTGTAGTCTGATGGCATGCGGTTTTTCTGTCAAACCTGTCCGTATTTGTTTCAAATTCATGATAAGGTGGAGAAAAAGGTGCCACTTCAACGTAAACAGGTAGACGATGTTTTAGGAGGTGATGAAGCTTGGGACAATGTTGATCAAACAGAGAGTACGTGGAATTACTACATGTGGGCTATGCTATGGAAAGAAGAGTGAGGACTGATCAGATGTTTGTGTGTCTCTCTCTTCTCTCGTGTGCTGCACAAATAGCTCGCTGTCCTCACTGTGAGTTTAACAAGGCTTACTTTATGCAGATTCAGATCCGATCAGCTGATGAACCATCTACGACATTCTACAAGTGTGTACAGTGTAAAAAGCAGTGGAATGACTAAGTGATTGGTAATTCAATTGTTAGAGTGTTATCGTTTTTCTCAACTAGCATGTCAGACGGTTGGAGCCTTGAACACATTGACAATTGTCACACGTTCGCTTGCATTCCGAGCGCTGAAACGTTTGGCCAAAGTACGACATAAGTAGTTGACGACGGCACGTCGTTTTGTCCTCGCAATACTCGGCCATGGATCGGAGTTTTTCCATGTGCACAGCACGCGTTTTCTTAGTCATTCCCTTCTGAGGCATAAAAAGGATGCTGCGCAATTTGGACACGTCGCGTGGACTGTAAAATAAGATACACTGCGACGGTTTGCCGTCTCGCCCGGCGCGACCAGCCTCTTGGTAGTAGCCTTCGATGGACTTGGCTACCGAGAAGTGGATCACGAAGCGAACGTCCGGCTTGTTAATGCCCATCCCGTATGCAATCGTTGCACACACGATACTAAGCTGTCCATTCTGCCACGCTTCTTGCACCATATGTCGGTCCGTCGCGGACTGACCAGCGTGGTAAAAGTCAGCACTCAGTTGACGGTCGAACAGATAATTTGCCACATCTTCACTATCCTGCTTCGTCATGCAGTACACAATCCCTACCTCGTGGGGCGAATACGTTGTTGAAATAAACTCGTAGAGAGCCTCCATGGCCTTCTTGTCGCTAACACGCGGTTTGTCGCGCACTTCAAATGTAAGATTCGGTCTGTTAAAGCTCATTGAAAACACTAGCCCTTTTGAAATACGGAGTGAACGCTGCACACCTTGAATGACCTTAGGTGGCGCAGTAGCCGTCAATGCCATAAGCGGTATGTCTGGAAAAGTCTTTTTCAATAATCCTAGCTGACTGTATTCCGGACGAAAGTCATGTCCCCATTGACTGACACAATGAGCTTCGTCAATTACAAACCTCGCAAGTGCCTTATTGCAATATAAAATCTGTAGCAAGTTCATCATCTCGTCTGACTTGACAATTTTCTCAGGTGTCAAATAGAGTAATTTGACACTAGGTACAGGTCGTCGTAGTTCTGCCGTGATAGCGTTCTTAAGTGTTAACACTGTTTGACTTGTCAAAAATGCAGCTGGAATTCCACAGTGTGGATTTTGAACCAAAGCTGTAACTTGATCTTGAATAAGCGACAGTAGTGGTGAAACTACAATTGTCACGCCTTTTGACAAGATAGCTGGTAATTGATAGCAAAGACTCTTTCCACCTCCTGTAGGCATTAGTACAAAACAATCTTCACCACGCATTGTAGTCTCTATCACTTGTCGTTGATTCTGTCGGAAACAATCATTACCAAACACCTTCTTGTTTGCGTGAATCAATAAATCCTGTGGCTCTTGATCTGAGTCTAAATAGTAACATGGAGCTCCTAATGTCTCTACGGATGGTTTTTTCACCTGAAAAGACTTTGTAGATGCTACGAAACGTTTACGACTCTGTCGAATCAAATCCAACGCCGTCTTCGACGCTCGATTCGCACTATTGTCGTCGTCAGAATCCTCGTAGAACGAGCGGCGACGTTTCGAGTTTTGAGGCACGTCATCGAGTGTCAGATCAATGGCGTTAGCTGATGGATCAATTGCATCTTGAACATGGTCACGTGCTTGAGAGACAAACGTCTGGAAGTGCTTGTCGAGAGGTACGAAGGATGCAGCCGCCTGTGCCCCGCTATTGCGATATTTAACCGTCATATTTCACGTTGCAACACCAAAATTTGGGCCAAACCGGAACATTTTGACGTTAGTATGTATTTTGAAACAGTTTCAAAGAGGATACCGGTTATTCAAGGTTTGCAACACATATCAAAGTCCTGGAATCAATATCTGACCAATTGATGCTCAGTATGTTCGAGTACTAGCCAATCATATCGTGTTACAGTAAAACGCCAAGGTTTTATTCGAATTTTCAGTTTGAATGGCAGAAATTACTAATACGATTGCAGATGCAGTAGCTGCTGCCTGGATACGGTGGCAGCGGTATCATCAGCTACACAATAAGCAAAAGCAGTTAAGCATAATAGAAATGGAAACGCAATTTGAATTAGTTGCTACAGGTCTCGTCGTAGAACCCGAACAACTAAAAAACCTGTTTCAAACTGATGCTGATCACTTGAGGGCATTTTTAACTCCGGTCCCATCATTTCAAGACAGTATCAATACCGTTAACCGGTATCATTTCACAGTAATATCAGTTTCCATGTTACTTCAGGAATATGTACGAAGAAACATCCAATCAGAAGAGCATATGATACATCTGTTAACTGGTTCAGTAACAACCCACGTCTTGCTGCCACTTTTACAATATAAATATTGCACTTCTTTCCATAATGCAATATTGCAATTATTGCAAATTTTATTGGTCTCGTCGCTGAAGCACCAATACTGCCACGAGACGTTCATACAGCTCTTTCATCAAGTACAGAAGCTATTATCATGTGAAGAAAACAACAAGAAGGAGTTTCCCATTTATTACAATTCATTATGTAAATTATTGGCAATGTTATTGCAATATCAAGTTAAGACATTCGAGGACAAGTGTATGGAAATTTGTATCGACGCAATAACAAAATGGCAAGAAGAAGCACAATTATTACGAGCTCTGGCGTTGCATATTGTGCCAATACTGATGGAAATTCAATGTGATATTGTCACAAGAACGAAGAAATGTGTAAAATTGCTGGAAATGGTCGGAAATGTCTGGAAAAAACCATCGGACCGTGACAATATTGTGTCCTATTATGAATTGCTGTATGTTGTGTGTATTGTCATACCAAAGGCTCCACGTGAACTTATTGGTGATGTAAAGCTACAAACTTTTGTTTGTTTTGCATTGTAGCACAAGGACGCTTTGTTGCGAAAACAGGGGCTACATGTTTTAAAAATGGCTTTTTCACATTGTGCATTGGTGTCGAAGCCGCAAAAGTTACATTTGTTAGAACGAAGACAAGAGGAAGAGTGGCTGGATACGTGGCAAACCTTTCTAACAGCATCTGACGTGATTCAAATGCACCACGAACAACATTTAATAGAACAAGTTTGGCCACATATTGCAGGGCTTTTGACAAAATACTTGATTGTCATTCAAAATGTGTTGGAGCCACAGCTACAGGAAAAAAGTGACCAGTGGCCGGTGCGACTGACTTTTGACTAGATGCAGAGTCTGTTAATGCGGTTGTTTGCACATGACAACCCTGTCGTAAAACGTCTTTTTATTTCAAACTTTATGGAAACCTGCGTTGGAGCTTGGCAGGTCTGGGAAGGACAGATGAGTGTTTGTAAGAATGTTGATCGCGACACTTCCTTCGCATGTACCTCTGCTTTCCAACGCTTTGTGCTCGACTACTTGCTGCGTGCCTGCAATGACCCGGTTCTTTTTAAACACGCGCATCGCACTCGTTTCCAGACTCTGGTGGCTGACTTTTTGGTATCCTTTCTTGTTTTCCAACTTGCAGAGTATGACCAGGTGCACGTGCTGGATGAGTTTGTTGCTGCGGTGAATGAAGCGATTTTTGGCGAAGCATCTAACAGCCATTCACCGGATGCTTTATTGAGCATGCTGCAAGTATTCCAATTCCCGCGTTTGAAATGTGCTGCCTCCTCCGCGCCACCAAAGATGCTGCTTAGTGAGGCAGCAGTTGACCAGCTGCGGTTTTTGGTCGATGTTCATGCAATGCAATCGTTTTCGCAAGCGACGCGAACTAAGATGCTTCGTGCCCTGAGTCACGCTCTTGCCGGAGGCTTTATTAGTGCGTCGACACTTTCGCTGTCAGCACTAGCACGTGTCCATTGTGTCTTTCCTGTTTATAGTTTGATAGCTGACGATGGCGAGATAATGTTGCAGCTTCTGGCGTGGATGAAAGCTCCCACTGCCATTGGCAAATCGTCTAGCGCTTTGACAGCTCTGACATCTGCACTTCAAGCATACTTAAATTGTGAAGCGAAAGGAAACTCAGAAGGAGCTTTGCTCAGTCCACCTCAACTGTCGAGGCTGCTGCTTTTTACAGCAGAAGTCACACGCGATTCGAATGCTCAACCTACCGACAAACATCTTGGACATCAGAGCAATGTGAAAGTCGTTATCCGTACCCCACTGAGTGCATTGCTGCCCACAAGTCTAGATTTTGAATTGCACAGTACTCTACTTGTGCTTTTTGTTGCCAAGTTTGAAGAGCAAATCCAGGAACTTTTGGATAGTTGCGCCTCACTCTCATCGCAAAGTTTCACATTTGTATTCCAATGCAAAGACTTCTATTCCGGAAAAGTTAATTGCTCATATCTTTTTCGCTCAGCCATGAAAGTAGTCCGGCTTTGGTTGGATAAGGTACCATCACCAACGGACATTGATGTACTGGAATGTGGAGATCACGAAAGAGAAGACGCTATGAAACTCGTGGAGTCCGCTGCGTTTCTTTTATCTCGAATGAGTACACACAAAATGAACACTACAGGCGAGTTGAACGAAATGTCTGCGTTGAATGCTGTCTGTGAAGAGTTGAAACGAATTGTGGCAGCGACTGCAAATCACAGCTTATATGACTTGGCGTTAGCTACAAAGTGTTTGTCCATCATAGGGTCAAATGCTACTGCTGTAGACTCTCTTCCTGCATTTGAAAACGAACGCATTCTCCCGCTTCTACTTGCTCTTGACACGAGTCGGCGGTACAGTGGGAAGCTTGATGCAAAATGTGCTATTGGCTTGGCTACCAACAAGTGGGTTCTGCACTGCAACGTCATGAGATCATCGTCGTTTATTGACACAAAACTTTTGAAAACTACCTACGATGCATGTGTTGAGGCACTTCCTACGGCGGGGATGGACCCTCTAGCTTTGAGTCAAATGGTGAACGTATTGTCGCTTACACTTTCACAATTGGCCAGTCCGCTGGCAAACTGCCCAAATGTCATCGAGCAACTTGATGGTTTGTTTGAGGGCATCTGGATGGCTTATACCGACAGCAAAGCTAAACCTGATTCGCTTACCCGAGCTGTTATCACCTGCGTATTTCAGCCGGCTTTTCTCCTACGTCACGAGCTTAAGGGAACAATGAAGCACTGGATTGCAAAGTTTATTCACTTCGGCTCTCGACATAGGCCTAATGTGATTTTCCACCTGGCTTGTCGCTTGTGCCAGACATGGCGCGCACAGCCAGCATCAGCTTTGTCTTTTGCCGATGAACTTGTCGAACTACTGCTTTACAAAGAACCAGTGATCGACGAAAAAGAGCAGCTATCACCGGACACTTGCACTCCGTTTCAGTGGTTCCAAGGATCTATACCAATTAGCTACAGCAACGCCAAGACAGCGGCAATCGAAAGCCATGCTAAGGACCGATTCGTGCGGCTGGTGGTGCTAAACTTTCTGGCTGATGTAGTTGTTGACGGTAGCGCTTTTACTACAGACACCCAGAACCTCATGGATGCGTTGTTCTTTCGACTCATTGAGCTTAACGTGACGCCAGAATGGCAGAAGCAGCATATGCTGAACAGCAATGGGTTTGGTAAGAAGTTGCGATCATGGCAAGCGCTCTGTATTGTCAGCGCGCATGTTACGAAATCGCAGTTGACTACGCTACTTCCCAAGCTTAAAGCTGCGTTTGCAGTGCCTCAACTACCCAGCGTTCGGTACTACATGGAGCTTTTTGGAATGCGAATGGCGATAAAGTATTCACGTGAGATCTGCTCGGGCCTTTTACTTCCGATGCTATGTGATTCTAATTTGATGCCACAAGTGGGTGCTTCCGTGCTGATTGTCTCTGCTTATCTCGTTCGCCACAAGCTAGACGACATCGATCTTGATGTTGATTATGGAGAGCTGCTAGAAACGATGTTGCCGTGGCTAAACTCATCACACGGGCACACGCGTGTTTTGACCCAATATTTGCTGGCCAAGGTTCTTCCTCGCCATATTCACCAGCTTCAGTACAGCTCTGGTAATACGCCAGGCCTTCGCTTTCTGGAAGGCACCGTACGTTATCTGAGTAACAATAAGGAGTGCAAACGGATGATGCGTCGGCAAGCGCGCCAACTGGAGGACTTTCGTCCTGACTACGAGAGCTCATTACTTGGGATGCTCTGCTCGGGATTTATTAACGAGTTTGGAGAGCTCTTGCCGCGCGACGAGCCCCTCCGTTTCAGTGAGCAGCTTAAAACTGCAATGAACGAACTCTACGCCCAGTATCAAATTGAAAATTTTGCTCCAGCTCCATCACAAAGTAACACTTCTACCTCTGAGACCGGAACTGCAAGGGGAGCTCACACTGTGCAACGTAAAATTGATACGATGACAATGCTGCTTCAGGACAGTGCCCTGCCTACTGCAATGCGAGCTAATTTTGATGCGGCGCAGCGGGGTGGCACACTTAACGCTCGCCAACGCCTGCGGCAGCCCATCTTCATGTGTGCAAGCTTGGTTGACAAAATTCCAAACCTCGCAGGACTTGCAAGAACATGCGAGATTTTTAATGCTCAGAAACTGATCGTGCCCAACCTGCGAGCGACGGAGCAGGACGTTACGTTTGCGACCGTCAGTGCCACGGCTCATAAGTGGATGCCACTGGAAGAAGTTCGACCGCAAGGTGATGATCTGCGTGAGGCGCTGCTACGCTGGAAGAGTGAAGGCTACACCATCGTGGCAGTCGAGCAAACAGGTTCCAGTGTTAGTCTTGCAAAATACATGCTACCACGCAAGATGGTGCTTGTCTTAGGTCGAGAGAAGGAAGGAATTTCCGTGGACATACTGCAACTCGTTGACGTGTGCGTTGAAATTCCGCAGTTTGGGTTGGTGCGCTCACTTAATGTGCATGTAAGTGGTGCGCTGGTGTTGTGGGAGTACACGCAGCAGCAACTCAAGTCTGGAGCTCTTGAGTCAACGCTGTAACAAGGCTGATAACGATGAGATGCTGAAATGTGGTGCTGTGACGAATGCTACGCAAGACAAGCAATTGTGCTTTTGTGGAGCATTATCGAAAAGCGGTGCCCCGCGTCAACGTGTTCAGGAAAAAGGCCATTGGACATCTTATGCCTCAAGCATTAGCATGAATTGCTTCATAACAGTGAGTAGGCCAACACTTTGAGTGTGAAGCTGCTACGTTTGTGGTTTTATATACTGACTGATGCTTGTACATCTCATTCTGTTCGAAATGCAAAGCAATTAAGACAGCACATCTGATCAAATCAGTTGCCTTGCGTACCTTAGTGCGGCTCCGAAGACATTGACGATCGTTTATGGTGAAAGGGATTGTGACATCTCAAGGTTGCACTGCAGCAGCGTTTTTTTGAGCTTGAGAGACCAATATGAGATGTGGCGGGATGCTCTAGCACGCTCTAACTTATGTAACGAGCCTCATTTTGAGTTGCATGCCAAGCTTCCAAAGATCAATTGGCGAACAGGTAGTGGATATGCCGCTGGTAGAGCAAAAAAGCAGAGTACTTGCCTGAAGATGGCATGGACCTTACCACTGTTTGGACGTTCCTATACAAAGCAGCAGCACTTCGTGGTGTCACCCGGAAACGATCAAGCTCATAGTATGAGCATAAGCTTTTGCTGTCCTCGCCTACGTGCTGGCAAATACAAGAATGTAAGCGCTTTCGGTGCTATTGGCTACGAGTAGAATGTCACCTGTGACACGAATATGAGAATTTAGGTTTTGGTACGTGAACGAACTCATTGCGGTTTCGTAATTTCTGGTTTCATGGAATCAAGGCTCATATCATACTCAGAAATGGTTTTGTGATGGTGCAAATGAGGTTCCAAGTCAAGCGTCAAAACAAAAGTAAGTCACGATGAGAGCCACGAACCAGCTCAAGCCTGCGGATTTGCTCGAATACGAACCTCGCTTACCGCTTCTGCAACAGTTTCTTTGCCATAAAGCTACACTTTATCCGATACGAACAAATTCGACAAAGCACTTGGAAAAGGCTATAAGGATAATGAATGGCTAGGACGTTCAAGAATGAAGACTAGTGGTGTTCCATTCTTCCTTTTGAATTAGATCGAGAACGCTTCAAGGAATCCTTTGTCTGCATGAGCACTCTTTTGCATCTCGATAGACACATCCCCAAATGACAAACATACAAGTCCTCTTGTCTTTCACAGGATCAGTTCTTGTCTAAATGACTTGTCTGGAAAGTCACATCCATCATTCTCTTTTCTTAAGAGTTTGTCGCTCAGTCTCGCAGGATCACATCTGAAAAACTCGTTGCGAGGAGCCACTAGTAATGGTTGTGTACAGCAGTCTGTATGCTTTCGTCTATGGTCCTTCCTATGACTAAACTGAGTAGCGAAAGACAGAACTTTGCTTTTCTCCATAAACATTCTGGCAATGAACAAACGTACTCAGTTCGTTTCATATCATCCACATCATCATTCCATCAGGAGATAGTGCTGTATCCCCTACAGTAAAATCCGGCAACGTGTTATTCTGCACTTCCCCACAAGCAAACTGTGAGTCGTTTATGCAAATAAAGGCTAGACGCCGCATATTGTCGAAGCTAAGTTTGTTCCGGCGATTGGATTGTGCCAATATACTCTTGCACAGCGTTGTCTCTGATGCAACGCTGCTTGGCGCTAGCGAAAACAGCGTAAGCGCTAGTGATTTGAGGTGCGGCCAATCTTCTGCGTCCATCTGCCAGAACTGCAGTGGCGAACGATTCCCTTTCTCTAACATCTCCCACTTGTAGGTGCGATTGTTGCGCTGGTTCTTGGCATAAATAACGTAATCGGTGTACTCTGCTGACATTGCTCGCCTCCGTTCTTCATTAACACCCACGTCTTGGTCCGTCTTGGGAAAGTTAAAGATCAGCCCCTCAATCTGCTCGCGATAATCTCGTGTCATAGACTTGCCAATATATCGTGGATCCAGCAGAAACGCCAAGCCGTGAGCTTCGCTCAGCACGTACTGCAACCTCTCAGTGACTACCTTCTTGATGTATTCTAGCTCAACCGTTGTCAGACCAAAGACTGCATCGAAGTCCGTAAGCAAGTGTTTTGACTCAAAATAGACCTCCGAGATGGGAGCACGATCATCCTGAAACTTATACAGAATAAGTTCGACAGGCGTAAGAATCGTAATTGCCTTCTCCAACGTCATCTTCCAGTTGAGACTTAATACAAATTCCTTTATGCTTTCGCGGATTGTGCGTTGATTTGCAGGTGAGCTAGACCCCAAAAATTTGGGGTCGCTTACAATTGTCTGGAGCTCGTCTTCAAACTGCATTAGCACCCGAAACCGTGCGGCAAGTGTGCCCCATGACAGTGCAGGTGGTGCGTTTGCAAACCCCTTCATAGCGTGAAGCAGTTGGGAGTCAAACATCTTGTATTTTGGAGCGTACTGGTAGCTACTGAAGAACGACAATAACTCTTTGCAACTGTTAGTAAGTTCCACAAGGTCCTGGAATGGAAAATCCATGGGTATCTGTGGCGTAGTTCGCCTTGGATCGTTATCTACAGATTTTTCTGGGCCAAAAATATCCATGATAGCCAGATGTAGTGCGTGACAGATACAGCCATAGAAAAATTTGGTCGGGTACTCTGCTTTAAGCATGTCCCATGCTCGTGAGTGATACTCGGTACTACCCGTCACGACTCCACTTACATTGCTTCCAATTGGTTGCATCATTCGCTTAATATCTTGCGCAATAATGATCGAATCATGCTGCGCTTCATCTCCTGCTACCTTCTCTGACTCCAAAAAGAACCTCTTTTCATTATTTACCGCCATGTACGTCACGTATGTTTCGTCTGGATTACTCGTGTGATACAAATTGAAATTCGACCACGCATCTCTCTTAAAACATACCCTAGAAGGACTCGTTGTGAGGTATACCCACACTTGTTTATACATCTTCTCGTAGCACCGGATCGCCAACTCTCCCTCGAGCTTTTTTTTATCCGGGAGCTTTACATTCGGGTGCAAAATATTGATAGCTCTAGCCAAATGTGAGTCTTCCATCGCATCAAAGGCCATGCCTGTCACATATGCGTGCATAGCCATTGCTTCATCAAACATATCAATTTGACTCTTAGTCAGCTGCACGCTCTTGCCTTTCTTGTCTTTTCCTCCATTTGAATCCTTCGAATCGTCTTTCAATGTCATTCCAACGTCCATTAAACTATCGGGCATACTCTGTTGCATCGCCATCTGATTCATAACTTGAGCATGTTGCACTGCTGCCTGATCCAATGCACTACTTGTAATAGTTAACGACGTCGTAGCCTGTTGCAAATGGTGATGTTGAGTTTGTAACTGTAAAACTTCTAATTGAGCTTGAGCTTGAGCTTGAGCTTGAACTTGATCTCGATGGCCTTGAGTTTGTTCCGTCTTGACACGTTTTTTTACTGGACCTTTTGCATTAATTTTTTGATTGTAAAGTGGTAAAACGTCGGAAAATTGCGTTACAAACGAGTATTGATGCTGCATTTCTTGAAATTCCGGACATTTTTTTAAATGACGTATCGCTTGCTCGGATTTCTTATAATATAATACCTGTTGTTTACAATGCTTGCAAGAAGCGGAATTTCGTCGCTGTGGATCCGGTTCATCGGTCAAAAGCTGCCAAATGAGACTTGGTGTACGTCCAGGTTTTTTTTTCTTTACACTAGACGGTACCGTTGACGTGGTATTTTCATCAGTTGAAAGAGGGAGGAGATTACCAAGTGGTGGTGGTGGTAAGGAGGTCATTGGTGAAGAGCAAGTTGAAGTGGTCGCTCTCTGCCTTCGTGATTGGCTTGGGAATGTCCGAAGGTGGTCACGTCGAAGGTTTTTCTTTACGATCGAGTTTACGGGAGGTTTATTGTTTCAAAACAGGTAGAGCGCCTTTCGTTCTTGCTACATTCGCACGACATTTAGGACCCAACTTAGTGACGAAAGTTTTTTCAAACTAAAAAAAACAATACTTAATGAAAATATATCGGCGCAAATTAGCAGATTTTGGGTTACTGTGACGTGTGAGTACATTTGTATACGACGGCAAAAAAATAGAAAAACGGCCAGCATGGTTGTGTACGTTCAAACAGTCAATAGCCAGTTTGCATCATCATTCACATCGTAATCGAACATGGCTGCTGAAGAGGAAAATTTTCTCAATCTCACACCAACCTTTGGGCTTAATGCGATGGCTGCAACGGCTACGATCGTGGGTGGCTGTGTCATCTTCAGTAACAAGCTTCTACAACTTACTAGTCCGACGTTTATGGCTTTGCTGCTCAGTTTGTCCGGTGGTATCATACTCTTCCAGGTCCTTGTTGTTCTGTTCGCGCATTCGTTCAAGAAATTCTATGACGCTTTTACAGACGATGACAGCGGAAGCAACAGCAGCAAAGATGATGTTAGTCAGGACAGTGCATGGCTCGCGGCGACCGCGTGTTTTGTAGGGGGAATCCTCATGAGTTATTTGGTCGATATCATTGTGCAGAAGCTCACTCCGGGCCAAAACATGAATGACACAGCGTGAACACAAGGTAACCGCGTTTCATTCGAAGACGGTCCCGTCGACGTTAAACCACCGGTAGAGCTCGTCCAGAACCAAGGGAATGACGTGTTTATCAAAATGGACGAAGCAGGCAAGGAGATGCTGCGCCATATGGTGTCCTCAGTGCCGTTGCTGTTGGTATTCATAACGTCCCCGCAGGCATCGCTACGTTTGTGGCATCCTCTAAGCACGCGTGGATCGGCTTATCACTAGCAATTGGCATTGCACTACACAATTTTGTTGAGGGCATTGCCATTGCTACCCCGATCTACTTTGCGACGGGTAGCACGTGCCGCGGTTTACAGTGGTGCTTTCTTCCAGCTGTTGCACAGCATATCGGTGGCCTTATCGCGTTCGCATGAATGGGTATGAACGCAGACAACCAAACACAAGGACTTCTGTATGGCCTGTGTGCGGGTATGCTAGCTGGTATTAGCATAAAGGAGACCCTTCCAACCGCGTACATGTACGCCAATGGCCGGATGCATCTGGTTTCGGTCGGTAGTTTAGTTGGAATGTTTCTAATGTCTATGGGTCTCGTCTTTTTCAATTACGTAGGTGTCTAAGCGCACCAAGGTGAATGAAACGTGAATTAATGCATTGTAATAGTAGACTTAGTAAGCTTGCTCTAACTCTCAGCAAACACGTATTGAGCGAAATGTAAGACCATTAGGGTGTGCATGTTGACTGAGAACTAAGCTACATAGATCGATAGACATTCAGCAGGAAAGAAAACATCATCATCAACTTAACTACAAGCGTTTTTTCGTGCCTATTGCCTCGATCCTGTTCTTGCAAATCTTTGTACGCTTGCATAAGAATATCTAAATGGCAAACTTGCCATCACTATTCTTTCAAACTGTCTTACACATTTAATCTGTTGCTGTAGCGTATTACACCGAAGTATATGATACTATTCATTTGGCTTTACCAGTTGGTGAATACCGGTAATATTGTCAATTGTAATACTCCTCATGACTTATCTCTTAAATTTTATGGTGTTTAGTCATAGCTCTTTTCAAACCATTATACCAATAAAACTACTGACACATACATACAAACATACATAATAATTGCCTTAGCACGGTAAAGTTCTAGAAAAATAGCTCATCATTTAAATAGACACGCACGTACAACGAATTGATTCTTTCAAGAGCTTTGTACTGTAATATTTCGTATTCAATAGCCAATCAAAATGCTTTAAATAAAATGTTTGGAATTTTGACGTTACATTTGACATCTACCAGATCGAGTCGTCGCATAATGCGATCGACACTGTGCAATATGCTCACTATTTCGTGCATTCGACGCTTTTTTAGTAATTATACAAGATTGCATCGACGATTTTTCTTTCCAGTCAGTATCGTGCCTGTAATAGTGTTGTTGCTACTGTTACTTGCTCTGATAACTGACGCAAAGGATGTTGTTACGTCACATTCAGAGGGTACTTTTTGTCATTTTATGGTTTAAACCATTGTATGCATTTTGGTTGTATTGTTAAAATCATTTTGACGTTAAAACAGGTAAAAAAAAGTGGCGTGACAATGGATGAAATGCCCGATGAGGTTATAAAACCGCGTAAAAAACACACCACGAGGAATAAAACCTTTCCAGAACCTGAAGTTGGTACGTTACGATCTCACGTAAAAGCCCTGTTTGGTTTTAATTCCATTCAAATGGTTTTATTCCCATTTTATTATAGCAAATGAATTGTAGTATTGTCCTCTTTTGAAGCTTATAGCTTGGCTTGAGAGAGTAATTTCGCCTACTGAAGTATTTTAACTGTCACTTGCTTGGCAATTTGTAATTGAAAGCGCTTACGTTTGTACTTGCAACAACAACAACTGCAGAGAGCTTATTGGCGGATTTTAACCACGATGGACGCGTTGAACGCCGCGAGATTCAGCAAATCAAGGACAAACTACATCATTTTTTAGACACGGATGATAGCGGCGGCTTGGACCCTTTTGAACTTAAAAAGAGAGCACTGAATGATCAGGACGTTGACGCAGCACTGAACAAATTGGATAGCGATCACGACGCGATTATTTCGTGGAAAGAGCTAGATGAGCGTTGGGAGAGTGTAGGAGCCGAGATGACTGTAGCTGAAGTGGCCGATTGGGTAGCCTATGCAGTACAACTACCGCAGTATAGTGACGTTTTTCGAGCCAATTCTATCTCAGGGTATACGTTTCCTTTGTTGATGGCGAACGATGGAGCGAGATTACAGGAAATTGGCGTACATAGTGAGTTGCATCGCCATCAATTGGCCATGTTCTTGCAGATGAAGTATCTTGGTATGGGACGTAAGCCTGAAGCTGTAGTGTCGAGTGTTTGCAATGCTGACGGCATGACTGCACAGAATAAAATGCTGCTTCAACTAGCGTGGGTGCCGGCGGAGAACTCGCCACAACGCTACCAGCTGCAACGTCGCATTGCTGGAGAAATGACGTGGGAACTTGTGTTTACAGGAGCTGACACGGAGTTTATGGATGTTGTGGAACCTGGCCATCGTGTAGTTTACCGTCTTACGACATGGAACTCATATGGCCGTAGTTCACATACATTTGTGCGTTGTGACGATGCTGTTGCCCGTGCTGCTACATTATCAGCATCATCAAGTACAGGTTCTGCGCTTTCTCTGCTGCCTAGTTTGGGAAGATCGCGATCCTCACGCTCGCCGTCTTCCCCGAATATGCCACAGCAAGGGATAAGTTACACTGAGGGAGAACCTCTTACCGATTCCGCTGACGACTCTGACTATAAACTCAGCTTGTGGGGATTGGTGAAGATGTACTTTTGGTGGCTAGATGATGCTATCGTTATCCTCTTAGTGGTGATGCTGCCAATTCGTGGAATTATCTACGGGGACGCTGATTCGCTACTTCGACTGTTACGTCGACTGCCACCCAACATGCCTACACGCGTTACCGTCGAGGTTGAGCCTAGTAAAACAACAGTGGAGAATGCAGTTGCTCGCGTTTCGTGGGAAAAACCGGTGGACAACGGTGTCCCTATCGTTTGCTACACGGTTCGTTGGACACGCACTAAGACTGAAGAAGTAAAGTGGATTAAACTTCTGGCAGTACCATTGCCCACCGCGGTGGTCGTGGACAAACTTTGTCATGGGGAGACATATAAGTTTGTGGTACAAGCGACAAACAAGTTTGGGTTGATCACAAGCTCTAGTCGTTCCACGTATATGGTGCCGATACCGGAACTCAAGGGTAAGCTTCGGCCTCGGCGCCATCCAGCAGAGTCCCGTGCAGTACGCAACCAGTGTCATGTATGTCACGATCCTCGTTACAAGAAGAAGATGCCGTTCACTGCTACACTGGACAGGTATATCTTGCACTACTGCTGCTTGTGTGACAAGGAGTTTTGCCACTACCATAGAGGAGAAGTAAACCACTCGAAAGCAGTCTCGTGTCCAATTGTCGATGGCCGATGCATCTGCGTTACCTGTAAAGAAAGCCGTCTGCAGCGTACTGCCACTTACTGAAAAAACGGGGCGACATGCAATGTTTTATTAGCCCGCCAGAAACAAATCGTTTGTGCATACACATTTGCGTCGTATGTCGCCACGGGACGCCTCGCTGTTTTGTGTGGAAGGGTACAAAAGGGACGATCGGGTTTTGCCCGACCCAAGTACGTTATAGGCTTCACCAGCTCAGCCGAGACAATGCCGCACATAATGAAGACGCTGCACATCATGAAAGGTTTGTTTCTCCCAGTTTTTTTCTTGACGAAGTTTATTGATTTGATGAAAGTTTTAAGCTTCCACTTCTCGCAGAGCTTAGCCTCGTTGTTTGTGTCTACCGATAGCTGACAAAAGTTGATTGTTTTGGACAGCGCGATCAGTTGGAGAGCTTGAATCGGAACGGCAGTCTCAATGTCGATTCTCAAACACAGCGCATTTAGGCATGAGAGGGTAAGGTATCTACGGTCACTTTCAAACACACAAGTTATCGATAATGTTGAACATTAGATGTCGAGTTCATGTGTGGTCAAATCTAAGCGCTTCTTCACTGTTAGGATTTGAAGTGATCATACCCAAATGATCGTAAACGATGCATCTTGTGAAGCTTCTGTCTTGTGTAGCATGATCCAAAGAAGCTCATTTGAATTGAGTATTACAAGATAAGCTGGTTAGTCGTCTGGTGAGCTCGACATTTCTCATTGTCTAGCTATAGCACTTGTTCTAGCGCGCATAAAGTGGCTTCTTGCTCCAACGGTTCGTTGTCTAGGAGCTGCTTTGCCAAACATCATCTCCATACATCGCACATGTCACCAGAGTTTGACTCTGAATTTAACGTACTGGCAAGAAAGTTTTGCTGCATGCGGGGTACGTGTGGTTTGTTTAAGTGCAGACACAACAAGAGTCACAACATACGACTGACCTTCATAACGGTACTACAATGAGACAAAAGACCAACGCTTGTGCGAGAATTGAGTCATATGATATGCACGCACTCATGACACGAAATAAATCCAGCTGCATGCAAAGCGTGGTGCTCCTACTTGAAGGAGCTATAGCATGAGCAAATGCATTTGTCCATCCATCCAAAGCCAATGACTTGTAATTAGAAGACATGATTACATCTGCTAACTTTCTTCTAATCATTTTTGATCAGGCTCTGTTTTTTTGTCGCGTTCATATGAAAAAGCCCGTCTCAAGGGGCTTATATCATGTCGCTGACGTGATAAAGTATGCTAGAACATAGTTTTGCCTTGCTCTTTATTATATCATACGCCAACTTGATCCGTAACCAATTATCTCATTTCTACCGAAAACTGGTCTCAGATCTGATTCATCCTGATCTTGTCCTATATAAATTCAAATACCATGGCGGTACGTACGACACCGGAGCAATTAAGCACGCTACAGTACGCGCCCGACCGCATCCGCAATATCTGTATCCTTGCTCATGTAGATCATGGCAAGACAACGCTCAGTGACAGTCTTGTTTCTGCCAACGGTATTATCTCGGAACGACTCGTTGGCAAGGTAATTAATTAACTATGTGATCATGTGTATACTATTATACATCTTTGATGTATACTGTACCCTTTTATGTAAAAAAGGATGCTACTTCTTTTTAGTACCGTACAAAATGTATCCATAATGAGGACCCTACAAAATGTATCCATAATGAGTACCCTACAAAATGTATCCATAATAAATAACCTACAAATGTATCCATGTGTGACAGATGCGATATTTGGATAATACAGAAGAAGAACAGATTCGTGGCATAACGATGAAATCCAGTTGTATCTCTTTGATCTATGAACCAGAGCCCGTGGCGGAGAAAAAGCCTGACGCACCATATCTTATTAATCTCGTGGATTCTCCAGGTCACGTGGACTTTTCATTTGATGTTTCAACTGCAGTAAGACTCTGTGACGGAGCATTAGTACTAATTGATGTAGTAGAAGGAGTTTGTGCGCAGACACACGCTGTCATTCGTCAAGCTTGGAAAGAAGGGATTCGACCATGTCTTGTACTTAATAAGATGGATCGGCTTATTTTTGAACTACAATTCTCGCCGAGGGAGGCGTATCAGAGACTTAATCGCATTTTAGAACAGGTTAATGCTATACTTAGTTCTATGATTAGAATGGATGTAATGGAGAAATACGACCAGGAAGATACTAAAGATGAAAAAGCGATGAAACCTATTACGTTGGATGACGAAGCTATTACAAAAGAGACGGAGCAAAGAGAAAATGAAATGCTATTTTTACCCTCAAACGGTAATGTGATTTTTGCTAGCGCTACTGATGGTTGGGCCTTTGGGATTGGGTACTTTGCTACTTTGTATGCAAAGAAACTAGAATTGCCAATCCGTGTACTACGTCAAGCGCTATGGGGAGATTTTTACTACAATGGCAAGACCAAGAAGATTGTGACCAAGCCGCCAACTTCTAACAGCGAGACAATGTTTTGCTCGTTTATTCTCGACTTGATTTGGTCTACGTACACAGCAATGATGAAGCCCGTCCTGTTGGATGAAGACCTGGATGCGCTTCGCAAACTCACGCGACAGCGCCGGGTTGCGAAGGTGGTTACGGATCGCGATCTCAAGCAGACGGATCGCAAACTTGCTATACGAGCGGTTATGCGGAAATGGCTGCCGGTGTCTACGACAGTAATGAAGATGGTCACTCGTGTTCTGCCAAGTCCGGTGGCTGCACAAGTAAAGCGAGCCGAAAAGCTGTGCTCTTTCTCTGAACGCCTCAATAAATTATCGAAACACGCACAGGTCTTTTGTGCAGTGAAATCGTGCCAAATCTCGGAAGACGCTCCACTGGTCATTTACATTTGCAAGATGATTTCAGTGGAGGCGAATGTGCTTTCAGATTACCACCAATCTGGACTTGCTGCCACTGATGAAGTTTATGTTGGCGTCGGTCGTATCTATTCTGGTGTTCTTCGACAAGGCCAGCCCATCTATGTGATGGGTCCAAAGTTCCAAGGCATTTCTGGGGTTGCTGACGTTAATGTAGTAGATTGGGGTAGTGTGAAACACGTAGCACGAATCGATAGCGGGTTGATCAAGCCCTACATGATGATGGGTCGAGATCTGCACAAACTGGACCGTGTACCGGCCGGAAATATTGTGGGTATTGTTGGGCTGCAGGAGCTTGTACTAAAGACGGCTACGCTATCTTCGACACTGGCTTGCCCTTCTTTAACGAGAATGCCATATCAAGCGAAACCGATTGTACGTGTGGCTGTAGAGCCAGAGGACCCACGTAATTTTGGAGCTTTAGAAGCCGGTCTGCAGCGTCTGTATCGATCTGATCCTACTGTCGAAGTTCACGTTCAAGAAACTGGAGAACACGTGATTGTGGCACTGGGAGAACTCCACCTAGAACGGTGCATCAAGGATTTAAAGGAACGCTTTGCCAAGGTTGCAGTTCATGTCTCGGAGCCATTGGTTGGCTTCCGAGAAAGCATTGTAGATGGAACAGTCTCTTCGCTCCAGGAGAACATCGTGTTTAAGGAACTTTTCAACCCTGACGTGGCTAATGTTGGGACGTTTGGGAAGCATGAAACAAACGCCGCCAGTGAAGCTACAGATTCCAAAGTTGCACTGGGAACGACCCCGGACGGTACTTTGACGCTGAAGTTGCAGGTGCTTCCATTGCCTCTTGCAACAGCGAAGCTTTTGGAAGTAAGGGCGCCACTTCTAAAGCGCATTGCACTTAGCAAGAAGACAGCTGATGAAGTAGGAGGTAAGGTGAGATCTGGAGAAATCGAGGCTACTGCGGAGGATGTTCTCGCTTTCAAGAATGAAGTGGAAGTATCACTTCGATCGAGTAAAAGTGCTTTTCTGAAAGAGCTTCATCTGGACCGAATTTGGAGCTGTGGCCCGCGCCGAGTTGGGTCGAACGTGTTGATTAACAACATCCCGGGCTACCAAACATCTAACGGCTTCTTCTCATCTAATGCCGTCGCTCATGTTCGGAATTCTGAGAAGGCAGAACAAATCAAGAAGATAGAGAACAGCATTGTGACGGGTTTTCAAATGGCTGCATCAGCTGGACCCCTTTGCGATGAGCCTGTTTGGGGAGTAGCTTTTATCATTGACGATGTCATTTTTCACAACAAGAAAAATGACGGGAAAAAAGTCGGAGGATGAGGAAGCCGAGGTAAGCAAGTACGGTCCGCTCAGCGGACAGGTGATTTCCACAATGCGCATGACTTGCCTCATGGCCTTTGTCAAGCAGCCTGTACGCTTGGTAGAGGCTGTCTATGAGTGCACTGTGCAATGTCAAGCTGAGCAGCTCGGCAAGCTGTACAGCGTGATCTCAAAGCGCCGCGGCGACATCTACTCGGAAGAGCTGTCTGATGGTACAGCACTTTTTTACAGTGAAAGCTCACTTGCCAGTTGTAGAAAGTTTTGGATTTGCCACAGATCTATTGACTCAAACATCTGGCGCGGCGAGCAACCCTCAACTCGTTTTTTCGCATTGGAGCATCATCGATATGGATCCGTTTTTTCAACCACAGACCGAGGAGGAGCGCGAAGACTATGGAGAGCGAGTGTATGAACATAACTATGTGAGACGATATATTGAGGCAGTGCGCAAGCGAAAGGGTCTGTCCCGTGACGAAAAAATTGTTGCTCGTGCCGAAAAGCAGCGCACACTAAAACGATAGATGACAATTCATGACATCGGTTGCCATTGCAGACCATGGACACAAATATTGCCAATTCATTTGTTCAGCAACTTGAATGGACGGAGAACGAATTTGCGATACGCTGCAGTGATTGTCTATAGTTTCTGGCAGTCAATACAGATACGTCGCAATCGTTTTGAAAGCTGTTCGGATGACGTTGGTGATTGGGCTATGCGCTCGGTGTGCATCACGATGAAAAAAGCAGTGTCAGATACGTCAATTATAGCACAACCGGGGTGACGCTGTGTATACAAACGAGTGTATCGCTCGATTGTACTATCAGAATGTTCATCAACGTCAAACTAGCGCACACAGAAGAAGCACTTTTTGACTATATGCGAACGCGATGGAATGCTCTCGTGACACGGAGTCACGACTTCCTCTGACGTTTTTGGAAGGTTACAAAAGCGGATGCAAGTCTGTTGGCGTCGGACAACTGACACTTGATATCGAACTCACGGTTACGATGTGAGCAAGGGCGCGTGGTTGGTTCAGAAAGGTGTCTACACAACGCCGTGGATGTCCCGTTCACATAAGAGTCAATTTTATTTTCTCAAGGTGACATTATGACTTGACTCATTACTTTCAATTGCAGTAGAGAGACGAGATGTATGGATTGAAGCATTGCTCTCATCTTTGATGACTCCTTACAGTAGCTGGGCATTGTTTTAACTAATGTAGTAGCAACATTGGTTTGTATACTGATTTACTAGTATTGATGTGCATCACTGAGTATTTTAGCATCTGCTCATTTTTATACCTCTTTGATAAAAGTTTCTTATTAATTATACATACACTTATAACTAAAAAAGCGATAGTAGAATAGAACTATTGCTTTATTGATGAGTCCCTTAATATTATTGCAAGTAAGAAAGTCTTGTATAAAGCAATACATGAAAAATGTATAGTATTCACAAAAATAATAATACCACATAAACTGATGACATCGTGTTATAAAAAGTTTCTATCCATCAGATGGCTAAGAATAAAAATGATCATATCCAAAAAACAAAGTAGTAATCCTTATTAGTATTATGTATATAAATTTGCAGGACGGATTAGTGATAACTAGTATATAATAGGTACATCTTATGCTCGCGTTCATAAAATATACGGCCGATTGACACTAAATAACGTTACAGCTGATTGGCATACACTGCGAGCAGCCTCGAAATTCGTATCGAGAGTTTTGCCAGGACCATAGAAAAAAACATATCAAATCTCAGATTATCAGTACCTTTACTACAGCACAATATGAGCTCGATAAACGAGTCTAGCTCTCTTTCACATGAGTATTTATTGTGTTTCAAGACAAATTTTAGTAGTAATAGAGAACAACATGATCGATTGAGCAATGGCGAACAAGATATTTAGTATACACGACTAGTTGAGATGACGTTCTATGTAATGGATACATTGTATCATGTCGTTGTCGTTGTATTGGCGTAACGCCTTGGCAATTATTATGTTCATGTTTTTTTCGAGTGGTAGTAGCCAGTCAAATGACACAAGGCGTCCAATTTGCAAACTGTGTGCGCCTGCCTGATGGATGCTGTCATTATTTCACTTGTAAAGTACTGACGCTGTAGTAAGGTACAGTCCGTATGACACGACCGACAGCCTGCGCACGTCCTTCGCATAGCACCAGCGGTAAGTCCAGACGAATGTATTCCGGCCAGTACATAAACTCAAACCGACACATTGTAGTTGAAGCTGAAAGTATCGATGGCGATGTAGTTGGGACGCTCGGTCCAAAAGTATCGGGGTCTTCTAGTCGCACAATCTTCGCCATTTGCCTAACGTGACCAGTGTGGATAACTGCTTGGAAATTCTTGCGAAAAGTGCGGGCATCCGGCAGGAAAAGCAGTTCTGCATCAAATTGCCGTGTAGCCATAGGTCGCACACTTGGATGTACAAGTATAGTGCCTTTCCTTATGCGATGAGCCGGCTGAGCAGCACATAAAAAGCGTATAAGTACAGCGCCCGTCTCTCCAGCGCTAAGGCTTTGTGCAGCCTTGTGCTGCACTTCAATGCTTTCGACCGCTACGTCGCAAAACTGTCCAACAGTGTCGGGACCAAGCAACATTTGTTCTCCTACGCCAAATGTTCCAGCCTGTACAAGGCCAGTCAGAATCGTACCTGTGTCTTCAATATCATAGGCGTGACTGACTTGAAACTCAGCAGGTTTCATGGCCTTGGCCGCCCACACCTGTTTGGGCTCGAGCGCAGCAAAATATCCTTGCACTACGTCCAGACCAGTGCCATCTACGTTGGATACTTGAAACACCGGCACAATCGACGCTAATGTAAGCTGTAGCAAGTTTTCCTTGTGATTCGTATCAACACTTTTTGGTGCCAAAACAATTTGTTGGCATGGACAAAACGTCTTCAGCAAACGGGTGACTTCAACTAGCAATTGTTGTATTCGCTCGCCAGTTACTCGATCCGTCTTCGTTATCACCACAAAAATGGCGACTTCCAAAGCAGTGGCAATCTTGACGTGTTCTCGCGTCATATCTCGAACACCGCGGACAGCATCAATCACAAGCATGGCGTAGTCTGGATACTGGCCAGCCAGTCCTGACGCCGTACTCTTAAGGTATTTCTGGTGTCCAGCCAGATCACTCAGTGTGATAAAGCTTTCTTGCCTTCTCGACTTCGGTATCGCTTTTTTTTCATCACTGTCACCAAAATCGCAAGTGTCTAACTCATCCGTGCAGCGAAAGTGGCCATCTGCGGCCACTGCGATCGTGTGCTCGCTTACACTCGAGGTACAGCCATTCTCGAGCTCGTGGCGGTAGCGACACACTTGCATCCGAGCCAATCCAGCACCGTCATCTAGACGTCCACGCGTCAGTACGCCTACTAGTGTCGACTTACCACTTTCAAAGTCCCCGATCACCGATACTAAAAGTAACAAAAGTATTTTAGCACTAGACAACAAACAAGTCGTTTTTCAAATAACCAACTTCTCCAAATGAATGACCTACCACGAAGTCTCTTGGTTGAAGTATGTGCCAGCACTCTCTTGACCTGAACGCGCACTGCTCTGTGACTAATATCTCGACCAACTCGGAATCTTGAAAGCGACATTTGGGCATGCACAACACGACACATTCTACCCAAAACACAAGACAAAAAAAAGCGTCAGAAAAATGGCTACAATATTGTCAGTAGTAAGTATCGAAATATCAAAATATGAAATAGTACTTGACAAAACTTGCGAATAGTACTATCCAACTAATACTCAGTCAAGTCCTTTTCATCTTCGTACCGTGCTAAAGCTCCTAAAGAGCGCAGTATAGCGTTCTCTGAGAGTCCTAATACCTCCCCATTGTCCTTTACTCCAATCTCGTAAAAAGCAGTGCCACCACCTTCATTCAGGCGCCAATTCATTTGTGTCGTTAATTGACGTAAACGGTCGTATGTCGGTTCCAGAAGCTGCTGCTTGTATTCAATATTGCCTTCTTCCAACTCTTCAGGAAGGTGAGCAGTTTTCATATCGTCGATACCGGCAGCAGATAGCAAGAATTCGGCATGCACCAGGCGGCGTAAGGCCACGAACCCCACGTCGTCTGGTAGTATTGCTGCCATTTTTGGGCAATTAAACGTTTGTTTGATTTCCCTTTTAGGCGATAAAAATTATTTTTACTCATGAAATGGGTACAAGACACAGCAAATATATACTTTTGTGACTTTTTAATTCTTTTGGTGGTTACTAAAAAGGACCTATTTAGATAAAACAATAACTCTTTTTGTGCAACGCAGCGTAAACATTCTGTTTCGAGATGGTGTAGAACACGCACGACCATTTCATTGCAAATAGTCTTTTGCATCACAACGTCAGACGTTTTTATAAAAGCATGTCGCTTCGTTTTGATGCAAGCGTTATTCTCGAAACTTTCATGACTCGACAAGAGCTTTTCATGCCATTAGAGAGTAGTTACAATGTCCGAAACATTGGAATGTTTTTATAACTTAGAACTAAGAAACTGATGAACTTCTTTTGCATATTTAAAAGACATAAGCCAGATTGATGATTTGATCGCAAGCGCTACGTAAGTTTTTGATGACAACCCATTTCAATGCATACGCAACATTGGCAAATAGCGTCGCATTGATTGCGCTTGCAAACGAATGAGAAGGCGTTGCTGATGAGGACGTACGTAACGTGATGAAGGAAGTAGATGTCTGAAGTGTCGAATTTTGCATACGCGGTTGATGCTACATTCAATAGCAAATAGCCATTGCAAGATGTCGTGCAGTCATGGGTGAAGATAGTGATGCCGAACTCCACATCAGGATTACAGTGAATGATTTCAAACCTTCTACATTATCCATGATTAGTTGATCGCGTACTCGTCCTATCGATAAGATAATTGGAACTAGAACTAGAGTAGGCAATCGCGGTCAGCAGTCTGAATCAAAAACAAGTGCGACGAGGGTCGACAGGAACGCACTAACCGAACAAGAAATTACTCATCCTCATAGGCATAGGAGGATCATTGTCGAAGCGTATAGAAAAGTGCAAAAAAGACAGCTAATGCGGACAGTAAAGCTATCTCGGCTGCCTGACCACTACGAATGCGAAATGCATTTTCGTACGGCATCACGCCTGCGCTTGTACACCCGACCCCAAGTTGACAAGTCGAGCGGCCCTGCCGGGGGAATTTTCTAAATCTACCGTAGTTCGCGTGCCACAGATATTCGTTATTGCAACAAAAATCGCTCAGCGGAGTACGTGCCCCCCCAGAGTCGGCGAGCATATCGCGGGACTCACATTCGTGACATCATCAGAGCATTATAGATCTGACATTCCGAAGTCGAGCACACTGACCGGGTCGGTCTGGTTCTGGCGCCAACAGCGCTTTTGCTTCCTGGGTTAATGACGCACCAAACCCCTGTAGAAACAAAGCGCGTAGTGCTCAAGGTCTTCGACCTCCAACCAATCCAAGGCTCATGGCTTTCGATCAAGGCCATGCCTTTAGGATGAGATAATACCTAGCATCCAGGTCAAAGATGACAGCGCTCCACGCTATAGAGACGAGAAACTTCACGCTCAGGCTCACACGAACCTTAGCAACCGCAATATCATCCCTGTTGCTGGACGAACAGTGATAGCGTCATTCATTTGTGCTTTTATCGCCTTAGAATATGCTGACTTCCTTCTAAGGATGAACATTGTGCATAGTTGCCACCTCTCCGGAATCGATTCGTATCGTCCGTATTTCATCAAAGCCTCTCACTGTGGCTTTGACAACCAGTAAGACTGGCTTGCACACACGCTCCGTGTTATCGATTACATCATTGGGATAAGCCCTGTCTATTGCTAAATAGTTTGGGGCTTGAAAAAAACTCAGTTGTTGACTCAGTCGTGGTAGCAAAATTTTGGCTTGGAGGAACCTGACGCTGTTTGTGTGATGAAGTGTTTCAAGAACTGGGAAGCCAGAGGACCAGTGGGCCAAAGAGAAAGGGACTTGCCAATGAGGAGCTACCGTTGGGTAAGGTACAAAGAGAAGGGGAGCTCAAGGGGACGGGAAACAACCGTTGGATGAAAAGAATTCACGGTCAAAGCGTGCTAGTTAGCCACCATTCAAAGGTGTTAGCCACGGTTAGCCCGATGGACCGCAGTTCCTCAAGGTGAATACCGGTCCTTCAAGGTCGACCCTGGTTTATCATTGGTAGACCTCGGTCTCTCACAAACGCAGATCTCGATCTTTGGCCGATGGACCCTCGGCCTCGGTCCCTGAAGGTCGACCTTGGTCCTTCATCAATGGACCTCGGTCCTTAGTCGATAGACCTTGGCCCTTCAGTAGATGGACTCTCGGCCCGGTCCCTGAATGTCGACCTCGGCCCAGGGGTCCCGATACTCTAGCCAAGCAGAATCAAGAATCAGGTTTCAGGGTAACGATAGAGTAAAGGAGTTAGAGATAGGAGTATATTATATACGACTAAGAGTGCGATCTACATTGCACGCCTCCGCCGTTCCATATAAAAAAATAGCACACATATTTGTGTGCACAACAAAACTAAGAAAAAGAAAAACACGAAACGGCTACGAGCCATTCGAGGTAGCTGTTGGAGTGGCATGAAATGAGACCAACTTTTAGGCCGCTAGTCCTTCCACTTATAACTACTCGTCTGATGGGTCTGTCCCCATGGACTGTAGTCAAGTGGAGGATGAAGAAGCTGAGTTTCATGCTGCGGAGCCGAAAATTATGCGCAGATGTTATATCTGCAAGAGCACAGGTCATTTGATGGCAAAATATGCTGCAAGAAAGGCATATTTGGCCTAGAAAGGCTGACGCCCATGAGGAAACTCTCTGGCTTGCCGCGGGGAAACGGCGGAACCCAGTAGGCGCGGGTCGCCCTACTGGGGAAGAACTGAGTTCTGTTGAACCTCTAAGAGGTAAAAGTAAGCAGGGCCCAGCCTCGAAGAGATTCGAACTTTCAAAAAACGGAACGAGAATGCAAGCCAGGCTTTCTAGTCGTCGAAGGGACGATCAAGGGCTTTGATAAGCCATGGATCATTTTGATCGGCTCGGGGGCATCCGGCAACTATGTTCGCCGTGCCATCGTGGAAGGCAGTCAGCAGTATTCTAAAAAGCGCTTGGAGAGCGTAAGAGTGACACAGTCACAGTTCGCTTAGCGACGGGTACGCGTGCTCCTTGATCTTGACCGTGCCATCGACGTTGTGCTGCACCACCTTGTCTTCGGCGTAGCGCGCCCCACAGTTGGTCACGGTGGTCATGCTGGACGCTGAGCCGCCCATGATGCTCAGCGCATCTTTGCACACGTCGTCCCACTACACGTTCTCAATCGTACAGTCATGGTAGCTACAGTGCACACCCTGCTTCTGATTCTTACCGATAATAGCGTTCTTCAAGGTGCCACCGGCTTCCACGATAAACACGGCCGTATCATTATGGCTCTCTCCACCCAAGCATTTGACGTTTGAGCGCTCATACATCTTCATCTTGCCATCAAAGATCTCGCCGGCCTTGACCACGTACGTCTTGTTGTAGAGAACGGTGCCAGTGCTGGCCGGCCATGTGCCGTCCGGAACTGTTCCCGTCGAATCGGTGGTGGCGGTCTGCCTGGTGTTGTGATCAGAGGTGTGCGTGTTGGTTTTGGGGGGCTTGGTCACGTTGTCACTTGTTATACTGGAGACTGGTATGACAGACGGGGTGGCGACAAGAAGGAGCGCGGCAGACGCCACAAGTGGTGCGATGGACTTGATCATCATGGATTGCAGCAGTACAACAGAGTAAAATTTGGCGTGTTCGCTGCTTGAGAGGTAGATGATTAATGAGGATCGAGTGACGGTAGATTGATTTTCATGTAGCGCGGTGATTACCCTCAACCTCATGTACAGCTGCCTCGACACGCTACAAGCGTGTAGGTCTTGTCGACAGTTGTTTTCTAGGAGACACGCTGCTACTGAGGTTGACGCGTTTTGGCGATGTTATGGATAAGTATCGATTCTGTGACGATTGATCAAGTCTGCGCGTGTTGTCACGGTAACGTTTTGCTATTCGTACGCTGTTACCCCGTCTGCGAACGGTGCCGTTAAATTGCTACCTAATTCATTATTTAAGTGTTATCGACAAATTAAAGTAGAGGTAAAAGATAGTAGTAATTCGAAAGCAATATGAAGCGTTTTGGGATATTTTGCACTTTATCTCGAGTTGAGAGAGAGTTTTGGTATGCTTATCACTACTTGACAGACAGTCGTGTTGTTATGCAAATGCTATCGTGAAGTTCACGGTAAACTGCTGTTGAGTTGTCGTTTTGGAATCGAGGCATCATCGGATATATTCTCGGTGAAGAATTCGGGGGCTGTTTCCGATAGCAATACGTTGTAATCATTTTTGCAGCTTTTCGAGCATCACATGGTTCTACATTATCCAGCAGCAGCTACAAATCCAAATAAACTCCAACACCTCGATGTCTTCATACAGACCGATAGCTGTCTAGTTTGGTCCTATCTTGTATGCTTCCATCTGATCATGCATGCTCATTTGTGCAAATCGCAACAATAAATGAAGCAAATGTGAGGGGGGAGGGTTCCGCCTGGAATACTCGATCCCAGGTTGACGTTTATCGAATGCATCGGGATGTAATGCAATGTTCAACCATAACGTTCGCCCACTATAGCTGCAGCTTCTGCTGTGTATTCTGTCCAGGTTATTGTAGTAAAGCAGACGAATACATCAATGCCGACCGAATCAACTAAGAATCGTATGTCCAAATTATATTGTCACGGCTTTCTCTTGTGTAATAAAAATCCTACTGTAGTCAATACTTTTGTCTGTATTGGATTCGTTCGGTTAAGACAAGACGCTTTTGGTGTACTCACACCCGCGAGTTGTAGTGCCATGTTTATTTTTGTACGAGTAATTCTTGACTTACACGTGTACTACAATATTCTACTAAGCATCACGAATCGAAGTCGTCATTTGTATCGTGCGAAAAACACTGGTTAAAGTTTGACGTGTAGTCACTGCTGCAAGTTGCAGTGCTTATGTATGGTTTATTGGTTAAATGAATATGTCTAAAAATTATTGAACAAGACTTTAGTATTTATCTTCAACAATGATACTTACAATGAGAAGCAATAATGATAAAGTTGAAGGATCGAACTCAGATGATTTACTAAATTTATTACTTAAACCTAAAAAAAGGTAGGGTGAATCATTAAATTATAAAAAAGTATATTGCTTTTAGTGAAAAATAAATTCATATGTTATGATACTATATTTAGTTGTTTTATAATTCTAATCTTATTTAAAAAGATTTAGTAATTGAAAAGGACAGTGTACTCACGGAGTGCGTTTTAACCATCTAGTGGACGGTAAGTTGAAAATTGCACTTGCTATCTGAAATTTTGCTACAATCGCTTTGAAAATACTCTCAGCTATACAAAAGTATCAAACAATGATCGCAAGCTGCTGCTGGATCTGACAACTGTTACTTTTTCTGGGACAATTGGTTGCTCGGCAGTAGGTCTTAGTTCATTAACGTAGAGATTGTCAAATTGATCTAGTAAGCACGTACAGGTATTGTTCCACGACTAGACCAGCGCTGAAAACATGGGGTGTGGCTAGCGTATCTAAGTGAACAGCATCGAACCCGTACAGTTTCTTTGCCTTCGCAAAAAAGGATAAATCGTTTTGTTCGTGTCCTGGAACATGATGAGCGAAGCTCACGAACGCCTATTCAAACAACCAAGTCTCAGATATCAGTGCTAGCAACAGAACAATATGTCAATTCCTCACTTTTCCATTACGAGTCAAGCACGAGTCGATGGACTTCAATAAATCCTCGTGCTGGAACGTAAATATGACAGAGACGCATGACACGGTCGCCGCAAGAACATTAGTTACTACCCTCGTCAAACACCATCAGCAGAATTTGAACGCTTTTAAAGAAGCAGAGAACTTACCAAGTGATGAAGCCACAGACATTCTGCAACAACTGCTATGTCAAATTTAGTCTCAATTAAGACGTCATTACTTTCTGGTCCTGCACCGCTAGATTTAGCTGTCGTAACAAATGACTTATCAAGGCATCCTAATAATCTTGCAGTATCACTGCCCCAGAGGTGCCCACAAACTTCGTGTCTTCCATTGCCCAATAACGTCTGATTACGTTGAATATTTGCTAGAATATTTTTTAGCAGCAACTCGTTCGGGTAGTCTAGAAAGCATGATACTTGTTGAAACGTAACATCACTACAACAAAACGCACCTTACCAGTCATCACAGCCAGTTTGGCTCCAAAATGCAGTGCTACAAGCGATGGTAAGGCTCTACACATAGTTTAGCAGCATTTCAAGCGATCAAGTGCTTGTTTCTCCTAGTTTGATTGCATGTACACTACACTTACGACGCAGCACCAAATTCCACGATGTTTCGACCTTGTACCAAATCTGAATATTTTGCAAAATGACTGGCAATACATTTCTAACAATTTTTTCAGCAATTTCTACGTTAACCGATCAACTCATTGCTTTTAAGGTGCAATTAGAAATACAGTTTACAAACCGCTCCGTTCCAGACGGTACAAGCAAAGAGCGAACCAGGGATTCCACCGTCGTCATTGGCTACGGAGATGCGAAAGGTTGGTACCATGTCTCCTACGTTTATTTCCTGCACAAAATCTTCCGGATTGTATCCATTATCTTCTCCATTTTGAGTAAACAAGTTTCCCACAATGTTGTCCTCCAGGCCGTCCATGAATGAATGAAATTTACGCTTGAGATCAAATATTTGTTACTTTAACCAGGGAAATGTGAGTTACTTTACGATTTAGAAATTAATGCGCGCTGTGATTTAGCCATCCTACATAAATGCTACAATATCACATAGAAGCGTTTCGAAGGGGGGGGGGGGTTTTTTTTTTTTAAAAAGGGTGGTTTTTTTTATTAATAATACCACACCCCCCCAAAAAAAAAGTGGTTTTTTTAACCCTTCTGAAAGAGGGATATTTTTTGAAAATACACCCCCCCCCCCCTTTTTTTTTTTTGGTTGAGGAGAAAAAATTGTGTTTTTTTAAACCCATTATAAAATACAAAAAACCTTTTCCTTTCTCCTCGATAACTTCCACATCAGCGTCCATTTTGGTCTCCAGTACTACCGAGTGGCAGTATAGTGATCTCACATATTACCACCCCGTCTCCTTTAAGCGCTTTGCTTTCTTCATCCACTGCCTCGAGTCGCAACTTTTTCAGGTTAGGTTGCACCACAGATCTTGTATGGTGCGCATCACACTGACATTTGCTCCTCCGACCGGCACGCCTCAACCTCGTGTCGAATGGTTTTCCTTCGTTTGCTCCGACGCTTTTTCTCCACTAGGCAATATCTAGCTTGGAGTCATAACATCACCGATTGTATTGATCGGTGAATTCATTTTAATTCCTTTCTACAACCGACTTGTCATGCTATTTGCCTAGTGCGTTGGCCAGCAACTTGTCGCGGACTTCATGCGTAAGACAATTCAGATTTTGGTTATGGCCTTCCGAACAAGTATCACTTCGTCATAGTGTAGGTCTAGCAAGTTTCTGTGAACACAAGATGCTAAGCTTGGCATTTGGGCTATTCCTTGTTTGATATGGCCGATAAATGACGACGGTAAGTAGAAAGGTAATGGGAGGAATACCTTACGTTGGAGCATGCGACCCGTTGCACACATTTGCAACCAAGACCACGAATGCGCAGAGTATCAAGCTGCTCAACGCGCAGACAACGTGGTGCTAAACATAGTCGTGCTTATTTCATCAATCTAGTGCTGCGAATCAGCAAAAAGGTTTGAATGTTGATGAGATTGGACCTTGCACGGACGGAAGCCTTCGACAAGTAGAAGAGCTGGACTAAATTGCTCAGTCCACTGAGACAGAGCTGCATGTAATGCAATGAGTCAGGGATTTTTGACCATATTAACCCGACCTTCAAGAGGCAAGAAGCTGTTTCAAGCGTAGTTGGAGATTTAGAATTGAGCTTGCCGAAATGCGAAAAAGTTGCGTCACACTGTAGATGCAACAGGTGACACACAAACCTGTCGATGCGACTAATGTGTGATCACGTCTAACGATGAGGCGCTGAGTCCTTAACTTATAGGTTGTACCTTCAACACCAACCAAACCATGCAGATCATAACGACAATCTCGTAAGACTTGCAGCATTTGACTTTGATGACGATTTGTTAATCACACAGATGAAATGTTATGAGGGTTTTTTTGCAAGCGATGGGCTCTTTTTATAATACCATTGCATTACATGTGAGATAACTATTCTCGAGTGACGACAAATGATACAGGCAGGTGATCTTCAAGCGTTGGTATGGAACTTTTGATTGTGAAAAGACCATCCGCATATCCACAAGATCATGCTGGGCGTACACGTGCAGACCATACCCAAGCTCAGGTCGCCTACGCGCTGCACCGTATAATCAAGTCGAGCATTACTTCAAGACGGTTTGAAAATTGCGATTAAAACATCACAGGAAAGTTGCTGTGGCATGCTGGACTTCTAGCAGATTATGAATGACAACCTCGGGTGTCGTACCAATACAACGTGCCAGCTCCTTTTGGGCCACATAGTCAAGTAATAAAAAGCGGAATAGCACGAATGCGTCCAAGAAGCTCTTCTTCCACTTCTTCTTGCTCCACGCATCAGGCCTTCCACACCGTCGCTGACCATTGGTCTTGAGCATGCGAAACTCACGTGGATTCAGTGCACAGTTCTGAGGCAATGTGTTAATCATCACATTTTGCAAGGTGAAAAGACGGCGGAAAACGCGCTCGCTAACTGGAATCAGAGCGCCAACACCACCCTCGGAGTTACCCATAATGTTAACGTAGCAGGAAGGTGGCGTTGTTACGCGGCCGTTCGTAGCAGACACAGTAGAGCTAGCGTCTACTCGTTTACGAAACATGCTTGAGACCTGCACACCCAAGTGGAAATCACTAACACGTAAAAGTCGCTGACCACCACGGGACTCGATATCCTGCGGTGCAAACTGCATGACGTGCAAATTCTCGTCCATGTCCACTGCCAGCAGCGCTAACTTCTTCTCAAACACGCTGAACTCGGTGGCAGAAACAGCCAATGGCTCGTAATCTTTCGCCAGCAGTATCAATTGGCGTTGGTTTTCTCTCCATCGTAAGAAATGTACACTTTTGTAGACATCACCGTACATGACAAAGTCTTTCACAACATTCATCGTCACAATAAAGATTTGCGCGTCGTAGAAAGCACATCCAATAAGTTGTTCCGACTTAAACTCATACACGATGAGCTTTGATCCAACCGCCGCCAGCACATACGGTCCAAGCTGCGCCACCATCGAAATAGCTCCCTGTCGATGTTCCTTAATAAACACTAACCGCAACTTCGGCAACTTTCTACTCGTGGCACCCCCTTCTTCATTAACGTACTGAGCGTAATCAAGTTCGTAAAGAAGCAGCCGGCCGCGCCCACTCTCATCTTCACCGTGCGGGCCAACCCAGCCCGTGCCGACCACCAAATACGGTCTCTTTTTCTTGTTCCATTCTGGCGAAGTAGAAAATACTTCCTCTTTCATCAGCGACGAGTCGTACAGATACATAAGCTTTACGCTCAACACCACCTCATACCGCTCAAAATGCACACGGAATACCCCACAACGTCCCCACTCACCAAACTCGTCAGTCTGCACCAAGCGAAGCTCGTACACGTCCTCCTCCGTTAAAGTCATCTCATCGATCTCATGGTCTGGAAACATTTCTGCAGTCGGTGCCATTACATTGCTGCCAAGAGGATTTCCATTTGCGTCCAAGTTCTCAGGGTCTTGCTCTTCCTCTAAGCCCTCGATTTCTGTGGCTTGTTCTGCATCAGCTGGCTTCATCTTTATGCTGCAAACAACAGCATATGTCGGCGCTTCAAGTGCCTCTGCGACACCACCAGGGCCATGGCTGCCCAGATAAAGCATGTGATGCAAGGTAGTACCAAACTCTGCCTTCTGAAGTACAAAGCCACCGCTTGACGGCAGGATTGTCGAAGTTTTGCTCGAAGGAAGTTCGCACACACGCAATGCACCGCGCGAATGGAAGTAAATAAACCCATTAGGACAATTCCAGTGATGAAACGGAGTAAAACTCAGAACAGGCACGCTTACTCTGGGAGCCACATTCTTGTTAGATGCACCTTTTACTCGTGGAGCTGGCGGGGCTGATCCAGCAACGCACATCGGGATAAAGGTCGGTAAACCGCGATCACCAACGATCCACATCGGATGAGCACCCCGAAAAAACGCACCACTCATGTTGTTAACGTTGGCAAAGCTTGTTAGCATAGGATACCGAAACCCAGCGCGGAGCTTAGCCAGTACTGCACTGGTGCTCACTTCTGGATTGTTGCCAGACTCGTTATGAGCATTCGTGCGAGCTCGTGGAGGGAGAAATGGTCGAGTGATGAGATCAGTTTCCACGCGAAGGAAATGAGATACAGGAGCGACTTCTCCTTTTTCCGCTCGCAATTTCATACCCTCAGCCTTAGGTATCGCGGAGTACATGAGCAAGTCGCCGTTTGCTAGGAACACCAGCATTACCATTCGAGAGAGATATTGTGCGTTATGCTGACCTTCGCTTGGGCCAACGCGATGAATGATGATATCAGCTACTGGCGAATTGACAGTGTGCGACTTCTTGATACGGCCGTCGTTTGCTGAAGATGTCGATGCGTTAAGACCGAGAATTGGAGCAGAAAATTTTACCTTTTTCGTTTTGCTGACTTGGTAGTGCTCTAGCGTATTGACAAGGAACTGTGGTGCAAAAGTCAGGTACGGAAACATGCCTCTCTTTTTGAAATCCGGGAGGGAAAAGACATGAAGAGAACCATCACCAAAACACATGCCACACATCATCTTCGCATCCTTCTGCATCAGCAGCGGGATCGACACGGAACCATCAACGTTCGTCTGGAAAGCTTGGTCCAACATCGACTTCGCCTTGCTATTGCGGTCAGCCGAAGTCGCTCTTACACTTTGTTTAGTATCGTACAATGCATCCATATCATCGTCTTTGTCTGCGTTTTCTTTCTTACTTGCATTCGCTGCAGACTCGCTTCTCTCTTCGCGCTCGTCCTCTCCCCACGCGTTTTCACGAAACATGCCAGCCCAGTCATAAAAGAGACAAGCAGAACTACTGCCATGCTTCAATGTGTCCGCAGTGTCATTTGAGTCGGCAATGCCATCGAGATAATCAATCTCTGGGTCAATTACCGTCAGCTCTAAGTCTTCTTCATCTCCCATGAGTAGACGAACCGAACCGTCGGTCAGAAGTAAAAGGATGTACGGATCAATAACGTCCACGGACACAATTCCAACGCTTGATGTGTCAACGTTCATTCCTCCACACTCAACATCGCCCTCTAAGGTGATTTCTTGCGTGCAAACTAGCTTGACCCTCGGACCTGCGTCTTCTTCATCGTTGTCTACTTCTTCATCCGTATCGGCGGCTTTCTCTATCGTCTCTTGGCTATTTGGTGCTTCCTCTTCGGGAACTTCCATCATCACGCGTGCACCCTGCTTAAATATTTGTATAATCCGCTGCTTGTTAAACAGATTCGCTGCAGCAAGCGTTGGACCAGACGTGTAAAAGCCACTATCATCCTCTAATGGCTCCATGCCCTCGCCTGTCCGGAGTACCATCGTTCTATGAGCAACACTCAGGATGAGGTATGCGTCATAGCTCCGCCCATCAGAGCTTTTGGTCATCGAAGGCAGTGAAGACGACACCGTCCACATTGCTCGGCAACCACTTAGTTCTGCCTCTGTACCAACAATCGGGCGCAACCCGTTGTGCAGCACTGAGATAGCGCCATTGCGCTCAAATCCGCCACTAATCACAAGTTCCTCTCGTTTCTCGTTCGAGTCTGCGCTACTTTCAACGCCCAGCTCAATTGACGTGATCTGTCCGATACCTGGTAAAATGTCAATCTGCCGCAGTTCAAAATCATATGGACCACAGCCTTCTTTTAAAAAAGCATTATTTACACTCTTTCTAGTGTTGGATCCATTCCGTCCATTTGCAGACTCAGTTGAATCCGTTGCTGTTGCTGTATCTTCCTTTGTTAAAGCCTTCCCATACAAAAACAAATCATCTTCGTCTTCATCCTCCTCTTCGTCTTCCACTGGCTCTGATTTCATCGGAAAAGTCGCTTCTATTATAGCTAACTCCTCCTTAACCGGCATTTCCTCATCTTTTGGTTCTTGTGATACTTCATCCTTAGCGTCAGCGCTAGCCAACTTCTTCTGATCCAAAGCGTATAGCACTGAATCGCCAGACCTCGAGCCTACAAACAACGTCTTTTTCTCGTCGTTCAAGCACAAACAATTTGCTACAATGCCAGATTGAAGCAATCGCAACGACAATGACGCCTTCCGACTAGACGATGCGCCAGCGAAACCGTAAAGGCCACGGCTTGACGTTTCTTCGTAAAACAAAGAAAGTGCATATGCCTCTCCACTTGGCAAAGTAAGCAGCAGCTCTTTCTCACCCAAGTACTCATATTGGCAATCGTAAAGCACAACGTTAAGTTGTGCAATGTCGTGGTCTGGGGTCTCGTAAACCGCGTCGCTAAGGGGCAGAACTGATTGGTTCACGGTCTTGCTCGCAAAAACATTGGTCGCAAGGCCGTGGAACTGCGTCTGGTTAAAATATAGAAAAGCGTTCGCTGACAAGACCACCACGCCGCCAAGCGGTGCACGGCACGGAATCAAGCGGAAACAGTCTGACGGAAGGTTTTTCACCGTCCATATCTTTGGGTGAAGTCTATGTTCCACAAGCAACACAACCAATTAGCAACAACCGACTCTTTTGCCAAACGCATCACAAGTGGTAACCTCGGAACGTACCTTGTGTTCATGTTAATTGATATGACTGTAAGGCAGTACGTGTCAAACCCTACAGCCAGCCGCCCATATGACGAGTTTCTCTCATTTTCCTCGTGCAGTAACATCAGCGTCGGTTCCAAATATCCATCAAGAAAAGCCAAATCAATAACCTTTCCAGTAATCTCCAATTCTCGAAGACGCAATAAGAATTCTCTCCCAGTGATATCATTCGGCATAAGTCCACTCATATGGTTACGTTTGCGCTTCGATCCAACCTTAACACTCTTGTCTAGCAAAGCATTTAGTGTGTTGCTCATATCGCTTGTCACACCTTTGTGTTTGCTTTCATTTACAAGTTCTTCCAATTTTTTCTCTTCTTCATCGTCTTCTTCCTCGTCTGAATCTGCCGTGGTCGTTCCTTGCTCTTCATCTTCAAACTCTTCTTCATCTTCTTCAAAAAATGAAAGCTCAATTGATTCACTTCGGAACGGTACAATAACTAACTGATCTGAATAAATGAGCATAGCACCACATCTCGTTTGTGGGTCTACTCTTGCTGCAGCTTGCGCTCCAAGTCCTAAAAGTTGTTCCTGGCCATTCTTTTCACCTTTCAATGTCGCTCCAGGTCCAATTGCATCTTCTTCAAATGAAAACATGGCCAATGTCGCTAAATTCCGAGCTCGTCGATCATAACCGACAATAACCCACTTACACAATGAAAAAGTAAGTAAAAGAACCTCGTCACCTCCAAAGAAACGATGTTTTTTTCTCAATAAACTCCGATCAAATCTCAGTACGTGAACGCTCTCTGCGACGCCTGCCAAGGGAAAAGAGGCTTCAAGATGCAGCACTTGACCTTTTGCAGCATCAACAGCAGTCTCTGCGCTTGGAAAAGGCTCGATACGGTAAATACGAAGCCACTGGGGTCCAACAAGCACTAAATCGGACTCAATATCGTTCGAAAGACGAGCATTAACAGCGTGATGAATAGCTGTTGCCGCTACTAAATCACGATGAAACAAAAAGTGTTGTCCCATGAGTTGTATCGAATATTAGAGCGTGAAAACAGCACGAAGAGATAGAGATGACAAAGCACTTGAAACGAACGATCTGATAGAATCGTCACAACTGGTAAAGACGGAGATAGGGAGTAGTGCAAGTACTGGTGGATCGCGAACTAGCAGCGCGGTGACGAATAATGGAAAAGTAACGATAGGAAACTTCGAATGAAGTAAGCATCATGTGGTCGACATAAACAATTTCTCAACTTCTTCAAACAGGTCTACCCTGTGATACTCGCTATTTTGGGTACTAAGACGAGGACGACCTTTTGTTACAAGTCGTTATGACCAGAAGACAAGAATGGTCAAGTAAAGAATTTGTACCCAGGCCGTTCCTGATGTTGCAGCTTCAAATTGGCTAATGGTAGGCTACTTATGGATGCTAATCCGGCTTTTCTGTTGCGTTCGCTTGACGAAATTGAGCCAAGTGATCGTGGTGAAGTTTAATGCATACTTTGGTGACAGCACTGTGTCTGTCGCTACCGTGAAGCGTGAAGCAGCCACAGCGGCAGACCTTTGACTGCCACTACGAGTTGTTCGAGAACTCATTAGGTTTGCGGCTTATATGCATCAAAAGGCGGTTTGTAACAGAAGTAGCTTGTCGATATGCAATTTCTGCATGGATACTTTCAGACGTTTTAAGAGTCATTGATTAATTCCTGCTCCATCAACAGCATATACATCATCCATCTACTTGCGTCTACGTATTGAATAGGAAGTAAACCCGATACTCGACTAGGTTTGTTGATGGTCGCAGAATACGCGCTAACGTTTGGGCTTTGAATACCTTTTCAGTCGTCGCAATCATCTACACTGGATCTCTCCTGTTCAAAGTATCACTGGATGGGTATAGTCCATCACGAATTTTTAAACTTCACAACATCACTGCATCCTCACTCTACTTGTTGATCGCACAACTATGATTAGTCGTTTGCATAGTCTCCTTCACCGGCTTAGGAGCACTGATGACACGGTGTATCTGCTTTAATAGATTTGAAACCTGTTTACTTTTCTCTCCGCTCTCTAGCCGCTGCTGAGCCGCAAGTAATTCAATTCTAGCCAAGATTTCGTAGTAAAAGTCGACTTCGTCTTTTAAGCTAATAGCCTTAAGCCTCATTCGAGCATTATCCCGAAGCAGATCCTGTTCGAGGCACTGTGCCACCTTCTTTTGACGACATAATCCATCCATGTTATCTGTGTAGCTGTCGTCGTCATCTTTCGACGTCTGTAAAGCATTTACGGTGGCTTGAAAGTTACAAAGATGATCACTTGGTGCCTTTATTTTGGCCATTGTAGATATTTTCATGCGTTTTGAGCCTAACAATGCGCTCTCCATGTGCTTATCCTCAGCTTCGAGTAACCTTTTATGGACAGCCGCTGTTTTCAATGTCCTGTGAGTCTCCCAGGTCCGTGGCAGCTTCATTGGACTGCGAATGTTTGTGAAATAGCGTATGCCAGTCCGTATTACTGGAGAGTTCTTGACAGGAGAGCCACATGTATGCGACACAGACGCATGAATCTCGGGCATTAATGTCGGTCTTTCTTACAAGAAAAGGATAATTGACTGACTACAAACGATATTATCGTGGATAAAATCGGCGACTCGAATTTCTGTGTTTGGATACTATCTTTTAAGCCAATCGAAAGAGGGTAAATCAGTAAGCAATTTATTCAGTGCTCCATAATGATTACTACCATTCTGACGATCACTCTTTCAAGACAATGGATAAAGTTGTTCATAGCTGAATTCGCTCACTTTGAAAGCAACATAAGACCTTTGGACAACAGCTACATGACATTATGTTTTGTAATGTACCTAACACTTCTCCTATCATAAAGCTACTTACGCAGCTACTCGACGTTTCTTCCACCCAGCTCGAAAGTTCGTTTCTGCTTCCTTATGTTGTTCACCCACGGGCTCATCGTCTGCATTGTCATCTTCGTCTAATAAATCCATCTTAAGTTCCTGGCGATTGCCAAAAGTAAGGGCAACGTACACCTTGACACGCACCCGATCAAAGACCTGCAAAATTCGATTTTGCTTTTGTACAAGCATTAGCGAGTGACAAGTGGCATCATACTTGATCACATTCTCATCATCTTGTTCACCCTTTTCACATAGAAAAATCATGCCTTCAATACCAAAACGTGGCAACAAGACACCCACACCATTGTTCTTGACCTTTGTGATTACAGCGTCCGTCCGTGTGGGATACTGCTGGAAATATAGCACCGTGTGTAGAGTCACAGAAGCTCGACCAGCAAGTTGTGCAGCGTGATGACGTCGATTAAGCTGGTCACTAATCTCGTGTAGGTGAGACTTATTCTCGAGGTAGCTTGGGAGTGGTGCAACACCAATGGCAGCAGCCAGCAGACGATGAACAACTACGTCAGCATATCGTCGAATAGGTGATGTAAAATGCGTGTAGATTGGAGCCGCTAGACCGTAGTGATGAAATTCCGGCGGTGCCACCTCGCCTGAGCTGAAGTAGCTAGCCGGCATCATACATCGTGTTGTCATGATACGCAGTAGCTTATTGAAGTAAGGGTTTGCTTTGTTGCCATGTTTCCGCTTGCTTCTGTTGCAACTCACTACTTCTTGTTTGGCAAGAATGTCAGCAGAATCTAACGAATCTTGCAGCTGCTTGGATGTGTCCACGTGCAAGTCAACACCCACTGCCTTTGCTTGGCTGCAAAGTAGATCAAACTGACGCTTGGAAGGAGCTGGATGCCGGCGAAGCATGGAAAAGGTCGGGAAATGACGCACGATCTTCTTGGCAACAGTAATGTTTGCCAAAAGCATAAACTCTTCTACAAGAGCGTTCGTGTCACGAAGAGTGTACATTTGCACGTCCAGCGGATTTTGTGTTTCCGTGTCAAGCACAAAACGCACTTCAGGTGAAGCCAGTGTCAAAGCACCTGCCTCGATACGCTTGGCACGCAGGCGTGTAGCGATCACATTCAGTGTCTTGATGCCACTTCCCAACAATTGGCGTTGCTCAAATTCCTTTTCACTTTCTTTCTCCTCTTTCTTTGGCTTTGCAGTCTCGTCATACACGGCACCTGCGCTTGGATCGTCCAAAAGCTCTTGAGCCTGTTGGTAAGACAGCGAAGCAACAGAGCGAATAAGACTTTTGCAGAAAGACACATCGACAATCTGGACGTCGTTGTCGCCGACAAGCTTTATCTCCCACAATACGCTAAAAGCGAAGTGGTCTTCTGTGGACGTAAGTGAGCAGAGCTTGGTCGTCAGCAGGCCAGGAAGCATATCCAGACGGCGATCGACGAGGTAAGTCGACGTTCCACGGTCAGCAGCCTCTTCATCAAGTGGACTGGCTGGTGCCACAAAATGCGTCACGTCAGCAATGTGCACACCCACCTGCAGATTTCCATTCGGCAGAAGTATCGCATGCAGCGCATCGTCAATGTCCTTACAATTAGGTGGATCAATGCTCATGACTGGTAAGTCACGCAGGTCGCGACGCCCCGTCGAGTTTTCAGGCGTAATTTTCCAGTCCTCTGGGGGCAGACAGCGCATCACCTCGTCGCTAAACTGATCGCACGGAATGTCGTGCTCGATCAAAAGGACATTCGTCTCTGTCTCTTTGTCACCAATAACACCAAGCGTACGAACATAATGGCCCAGCGGAAATTTGCTCTCAGCAGGCCAGGAGTCAACTGCCACTAACAACCTTTTATCCATGAGAAGTTCTTGCTGCCGTGTTTGAATCATAATCTTTGGCACTTTTCGATCGACGGGCACAACTAAACAGCTTCCAGACGCATTAAGCGTCACTCCGTCTCGCGGGGGCTCCAGCGACCCGCAAAACTTGCGCCAGTTGCGTTGGATGATACCTACAACCCGTCCAGCAGGAGCTACATTGTGAGCAGCTTCGTTCTGCACAAGCGCCGCTTCTTCTAGAGCCACAGTTGGCTCAGCTACACCAACAATTTCTGGATGCCCGTCCTCTTTGTCTTCATCGGCTTCTTCAGCCGTCTGTGCGGTAGCGGAGCCCTTCACAGCAAACAAATCGGATGCTTTCTTCCACTGCTCCTTAGGAAGCACTTGAATAGCAACCAAATCTCCGTCAATCGCGCGGTTAATATGTTCTCGGCCATATAACATCACTGGGATCTGTACTCCGTTTGTTCCATGAATCAACACATGGCACTCAAGCCAATGATCACGATTGCACCGAATCGTGCCTTTAAATAATCTCTTGTTCTTTATCCCAGCAAGCAATTCTGCGGCTGGCAAATGCTCTGGATACAATTTTTTCTTACTGCTTCCACGTCCCTTGATGCTACTCACCCCTTCAGGTGTCAACTGTTTCTCCTCCGCAGCTGAAGCTGACAACAGATCCATTAGTTCCGGGGCCTCACTAGCCATAGGCTTGAGAAAATTAGCAATGGTCATTCCACCCTTTACTCCAAACTCCTCAGCGTGCATCAAGTCTTCTGCGTCATTGGCCAAGAACTGAACGCGAACTTTATTGCTCCTCTCAAGCTCTTTTATGTGGTGAGTATACCACATCCAAGCAGTGGCCACAGCACGTTTATTACGATCTTCTTCGGTCTCCAAAATGTCCTCCAAGTTATTTTCTTTATAACCTTTTGGCAGCATCTGCTTCTTTTGAACAAAACAGGACCTGTGATGTTCGTTTGCAAAGACAACAAAGCGTCTATCAGGATTCATCAACAGTGCTCGAAGACGATTGTAGACACCTAGATCTTGTCGTTTAACAAACTCCCATACTGTCTCCAAGATTAAAACATCTGCAAACACTTCACAAGTGTCCATCTTTGTCTTTTTAATTGAAAACTCTAAAGTGTCCATCTGTAATAAAACAGTCTTCATGGATGGTAATAAATACATACCATCTCTCGGACAATCTCCCAGCAGGGTCTTTGTCATGCCTAACACGTACGTGGCTGCTGATGCGTCATTGTCAGTGCAGCAGAGTGAGCAACTTGGTAGCGAGCAGCTCAAATCATCGCGTAAATAGCGCTCTCTCACTTTACGCACCACGTGCCCACGACGCGTCGCTACATTGAGCTCGTCCACACACCATAGGAGTGGCGTCTCGGCGTCGACCATAGCGAATGATCTAGTGATCGTTGGTGAAGAAATAAGTTATTTTTAGCCAATAATAATATGACAAATAGATTGTTTTCAGCGAATAAGAAAACCGATGCGAGTTCGTAAGATGGCTACAGTAATGGATGGGTAAAGATGATCGTCATTCTGATAGCAACACGTCAAACACTCTAAATTTTGCATTCATTTGTTATCAGTATATCCAAATATGACTGCAAAAATAAGCAACAACAACAAAATAGTCAGCAAAGTAGTCAGCTACATTGAAAGTTATCTGTGGCGTTATTTGTGGTTTATTCCTTAGCATTTTTTGACTTAGGCACATCACGTGACTTAAACATACTTGGTAAATTGTGTCAGTGTCAAGTTCAGTAGAATGACATTACAATTGCACCTATAAACAATGTGATGGCCGATATGTAGACGGATAGGTAACAAGTTTGTTCATTTAAGAAACTACTTTCACAGAGTAAACGTCCATTCAGTCACCACTTGCCCAGTACATGGGTGACATTAAACTGCAACCAGATCATGCTACCCACATCGCCATAGCGTTGCAGCTTAACGCTGCTGCGGCATTCGCCACGGTGGTGGGCGGGTTGATCATTTGCAGTCATCGTACGCTTCAATTAGCCACACCGTGGCATTGGCCACGACACTCAGCATCTCGGGAGGTGTCACGGTCTTCCTTGCGCTCGTGCTGAGCTTCAGCTATGCTGTGACCCAGTTCGCCATAAGTTTTCACTCCCAGATCAACAGCTACAATAAGCAATCTTGGACAGCTGCTACAATGTGCCTAGAAGCTGGAGCTGTAATTGTCTATGCTGTGGACTTTGTAGTTCAAAACCTCACCCCAAGACATGACCCAAAGACTCCTAAACATCTGCATGCCGTCAGTGATTGTGAAAGAGGGGATTTGCATGGAAGTATTCAAGACAGTGTCCTACTTGAATCTCCACAAAATCAAGGTTTTGTCAAAATGGATGAGGCTGCCAAAGACAAACTGCAACGAATGGGCATTCTCAGCGGAATCGCCATCGCTCTGCACAACATTCCATCAGGCATTGCCACATTTACAGCAGAAATCGAAGACCCGGCAATTGGTGCCTCCATGGCCATTAGTGTCGGGCTTCACAACATCGCCGAGGGCATCGCTATAGCAGCTCCAGTATGTTTTGCCACTGGCAGCAAGCGGAAGGCCGTCATGTGGTGCGTAATCGCTGCAATGCCGAACACGTCGGAGCTTTCATCGCCCTTGCTGCTGTGGGCAGCGACGGCCACGATCCTGGTCAAGCGATTCTTTGTGGTATTGTCGCAGGAATGATGGCCACTATTGCGATGAAGGAGATCTTTCCTACGGCATACACCTATGCAAATGGTCGAATCGACCTTGTCTCGAATGGTGGACTGTTGGGTATGGTCCTTATGGCTTTAAATCTCTGGTTCTTTAAACACATGGGCATAGGTAGGTAAAGAAATTGGCAAAAGACATATAACACACGCAGCAACGTTGCTCAGCATTAGTAACGAGACTTTGCCCAAAGGAACAAAACAAAATTGTGTTTCAAAAGCGCTTTTGTACGAATAGATCTCAATATCTCCGCATTTGCTCCAGTCCGTCATAATGTTCTCGTCATGTCCTTTATACTGTAATAACGACCATGGCAAGGTTGTTGTTAAGCATGAAGGTAGATTATAGCCTTTTTCTGCCCTCTTTATTATCATCTACGTGTACCACACTATTTCAAGACAATATCGTTGAAACCCCAATTGAATTATGACAATGACTCAAGTCGTGACCGACTTTCTCCAGTACTTGGAAGACCCAGATGTCGCTGTTGCCGTGGCTGTGATCAAAGCTTTGACTCGCGTGATTCTTCATAGCGAGGCTACTACTATGATGCAGATGGAGGGAGAATTACAAGGTGCAGCACAGCAGTTACGCACCTTCCAAGCTGCGGACGACCAGACATTGACCACACGTTTTCACAATTCCATTGCTACTACCGCCGGTTGCCAATTGTTCTTACGATATGTAACACGTTGTTTTTTGGAATTCGATGACTTTGATCTCTGTCGCTCGCAACTTATTGACCGTGGAAAGTTATTTGCCGAGACGTCACTCTCTAGTCGTCAGCGCATTAGTGATGTCGGTCATAACTTCATTCGCGACGGCATGGTCAGTTGGTGTGAATTTACTTGTTGTGTACCGGTATTTCATCACAGTAGTTTTGAAATTCGAGTCCAAACTCTAAACTGGAAACTTTTTTTTCGGATTTTTGGCACGTACGTAGAAAGTGCTGACGCATGGCAAGTCCCGCGTTGTAATTGCGCTGCTTCGTGAAGCTGCAAAGTCAAAGAACTTTTCTGTGTTTGTAACAGAAGGAAAAAGCACAACATCCGGGTAAGAGGGAGAATATATTTAGTATTGTATTTGGGAACATGTGACCGCTATATTGTCGTGTTTATCTCTTTTTTTTCTCTTTTAATTTCTTGTAGAGTTGGTACAGCAAAAGAACTCGCACAAGCGGGTATTCCTACGACAGTAATTCTAGACTCGGCGGTTGCGTACTATATGGAACAAGTTGATATTGTGATCGTTGGAGCAGAAGGTGTGGTTGAAAACGGCGGAATCGTCAACTCGGTACGATTTTTGTGTTTTGTAGTCTAGATAAAAGGCGAGAATGTTTTGATTTATCAAATGTGTCGAGAGGTTTTCATAGATTGGCACATATTCGACTGCAGTGATTGCACAAGCGCTGAAGAAACAATTTTACGTGGCAGCAGAAAGCTACAAGTTTGCTCGTCTGTATCCCTTGACACAGCGTGACCTCCCGCAGAAACACATGGCTGCAATATCGGGTGGCGAACTCACTGACGTAACGATTCAAAATGTGTCGTACGAGAGCCCGTTTTTCGACTACACTCCGCCTGGATACATTGCGTTGATGTTCACAGATTTAGGTGTTCTCACTCCGTCTGCAGTTTCCGACGAATTAATAAAGCTATATCAGTAATTACTCAAAAAACAGGTAGAAGCTCAACCGAGGTGTTTTGACGCATTGAAAAGCGATAGTTCTGCATTGCTACTGGTTGTTTCACTGCTCACTGTTTTTTCTTCTTCTTCTTCTTCTCCTCCCAATGCTGTAGCAGACACAATCATGGACAGATTTCTGTAGCAAGCAAGGAAACAAAGTGGAGAGACGACATCTTTAGCGGCTTGTTTGCCGTGTACCCACCCACCCACATTTCAGCTGAAGCCTTGATTTTGACTATGCACGAAGAATGGTACACAATCGCCGCTTTACGTCAAAGCAATAATACGACTGATAACTAAGCGACATACAAGGCCTTTCACCCGACGAAGCTTTTAATGATGAAAAAGCGCAGCAAGCGACCATGATAAGTGCAGATCTATAGGATGTTATTGCCAGGGTAGTCAGTCCAGGGTAGTCAGTCCAGGGTAAAGATCATAGCATCATACACTCAGCAAAGTATAAGTATCCTGATCTGATCTTAGATACGTGGGCCATGGATAAATGTGTGTATGGAAAACCGGATAGCGTCGTAAGATCTCTCTAAAATCACGGCTATGATTTCAGCGCGCTGCGACCACGTATGTATAGTCGACATGACATCAGCCTAACAGCAAGCACCGCTGTAAAAGCCACCAAATCTCTTTCACGAGCTGCAGTGCTTAAAGCTTGCAAGACCGTCAAACCAATATCATGCGTAGAGTAGGTAGGGCACTAAGCTATATTAGAACAAGCACTCGCTAGTTTTTTCTCCTTACAACGTCTCACCGGTGGATAATACAAACGATGCAACCTAAAGATTGGAGTTTTCTTCAAGTGAATCACCTTTGTGGCATGTTCAATGGCACATTACAATAGCAGATTTTCGGCATGGAGTGGAGCAATGTTTGCCCAGCACGAAGGCAATCATGCCCGATTCGACAACTTCCTTTTAAAGACCTCACCGGGACAACAATCAATTGCTATGCTTCCGCAGGAGTCTTGACAAAGTAAGGTCACCATAGCAAAGGTACCAAGGTACATACAAAATGCTACAAGCTGATGTGAACTCGCAAGTTTAGTACATTCTGCGCAGGGCATCACTATTTGCGGCACGGAGCGTCAACAAACCATGTAGTATAAGGTCAACTAGTCACCACCAACGCTTTGGCGGCACGTAAATGTTATCACCAGAGCGAGTTCTTGTACGAATGAAAGTGCATATCGTGTCAAGTCTGTTGAATACTAGGATCTCCGTGCTGTAAAGCAAGATACTTGTTATCTGTATCCTTAGAATACCTTGCATCATGATAGCTCTTCGAGATTCAGTGTAGTGCTTTGGGAAGGGGTATTTCAATCATTGAAATTGCTATAGCGTGTCAAGTAGTAGAGCCCGACAGAAACCGATTCGTCAGGTAGATTCATTTGACGGTAGCCGTGACATTCACTACCGTTCAACATCCTCAGACACATCATATTGTACAAATATGGACGAGCGAGACCACCACGTTTTCCCGCCGTTACTATCTATTCCTTCAGCTTACGGTCACAAATTCATGCTTCTCGATCTGCAACGTATTCTGTTACTTCCATACTAGGAAAAGGAGATTACAAGCAAAAATAAAGCATGACCTTCGAATATTTCGTCCTGCATCCTGGTTACTTGGCGGTTGGACGGTCCTTTTTTCCGCTTGGAGGTGCACGTTGAAATTTAGCAAGAGACTGTGGACACGTCGCATCGTTGAGTGCCGCTTCACTTCAAAATTTACGTCTGAAGACGTCGTGCGTCTTAATAGACGTACGCAGCTGTCCAGTGTAATCACTCGTCTATTGACCAGCATTGCTGTAAACTAGATCCACGACATTTTGTGGTTCAGTATGGAGACCACTCTCACGCATCTCAACTTGGAGCTCAGCAGTGGCATGTGGAAGCAGCCATCATCGCATGCTACTGACTCGCTCACTGATGAAAGCCATTGTGCGGGGCTATGCAGCCATTTTCCAAGAAAAGAGTCACCTACACCCACATCTAGCACTAGCAACACAGAGTGGTTGCCTCGCATAATGGGCATGAGCGATGTGCTTCGATCGCACGTGTCGCCACTGACGGCAAAGAGTTTTACGCGTCTACCATCCATAGGCGTCATGATTAATCGTGACGCGAGTCCAATGAGTCTCATTCCTGTCCAGACACCCGCTATGCATGTTAACAAGCAGCGACAGGACACTAAAATGACCTCGCTGCGTCATCCTGAGCTAAAGCCCAGCAATGTGCTGGCTAACGTCGCTGTCCGTGGGCTGACAGAGCAGCAGATTTGCAAGGTTTGGCCGGCACTAAACCGCTCTACCAGCAGTGACAAGAGCAAACGCACCAGCAACGCCAAGCTCTGTGGTATGGCGAAGTGCAACAAGCGCACCAAGGCTGGTGGCTTTTGCATCGCGCATGGTGGTGGTCTTCGCTGCTCGAAAGCGGGTTGCACCAAGCACGCAGTGAGTCTTGGACTGTGCATCAGTCACGGCGGGGGAAAGCGCTGCACTATGAAAGGGTGCCTCAATGCGTCACGCAAAAATGGCGTGTGCTGGACCCATGGCGGTAAACGTATGTGCAAGATCGAGGGCTGTAACAAGGGCCCCAAGTCTGGCGGTTACTGTTGGAGTCACGGTGGTAAGATGAGGAAATAAGCTACAGGTGGAGCTCTAAGCTATTTATCTGTTGTTTTTAATGGAGACGCGTATTGTATTGTATTGCATATGTACTTGTACACCTATGAAACGTATTGGTTTGATCACAACATGAAAACGCCACCTTATCTAGTTCCAAGCACGTTCAGTGACTGGCTGCCATGAAATGCACTTTCCAACTTACTCTTATAATGTATTAATAGTGATCCGAAGACAAAGCTACATGTCACCTCAAGTGTGCATCAAACTTGAGCGCTTCTTCCGTTTCATTGTTAGTTGATCTCTAATTGTATCATGACTTGCAACCTTTTTTCGCTTTGCTAGGCACGTAGAAGGCAGATCAGTCGACAACAGCTGCTGTGTCTATCCATGTATGCAAACCCATTCCACACTTACGTTCGAGTCTTCTGGACTTGACTGAGGAGAAACTTTCTCAAAGGACATTGTTTGTAGATTAATATTTGCGTGAAACATGCTTTCATCATATAACTTCTTCTGTCGGTTGAAGCTTTTAATCCAATTCTCCTATGTTTCTATCGACTTCAAGCGCCATCTTAACAGTCAAGGATAGGACTCTACAAACTGAGTTTCTATTACGATGTTCTGTAAAATTGCACGACCAATATTGACCCAAGTTTTTCTTCGTATTTTTAAGGGATAGTACGAGTCAGTTAGTTAGTCACGCTTTCGGTTAGCACTCGTATTATCCTTTGAAGCGATTTCAATGATTGAAAATATTCTCCCAAAGCATTTCACTGCATATTGAAAAGCTATCATGATGCAAAATATCCAGAGAATACTGACAAAAATATCTTGCTTCACAGCACAGAGATCCCAATACTCACCACGTATCATCCTTCAAAAGTGATGACCTTTGTGCGGCCTAGTTTCTGCGACTTTGAAGTTCATTTGACGAAGCTGATGCGTCCGCATAACTCGATGATAGTTCAGTATATGGTCACGAATTTATGCTGCGTTGTCGAGCTCGTTGTTGCTCTAGTGATTATGAGTGAGCTGCACGGCAAACGTCTCGGTCCAACTTGCATGGAAGGAAAACGAGGTATGACTTGTAAAGTGAAGACGAAGCTATCACGGAGTGAAAAAAGTCCGGCCCAAAAGTCGCTCGCTTTGTGGCTTGGTAACGACAGAGTGCGCCCAGTACAGTACAATAAATTTGGTGTCTCATCCAGGTATATCGATTGAGGATGCACCAGATACGGACGCAGGACCGGGCTAGCACATTCACATTAATTCTTGAAGCCAGAGACGGTCAATACAGGTTTGAAGACGGAGAGAACAAGGCACCTCTTTCTTTCTTCGCATTTGCGTCAACAGCTCATGCGATAGCTCTATTTAAGCCCATGGCGGATGCAGATCCTGATGCTGAAATCGAAGTGACGTGAGCGAGTTAAGCAATGACCTCGTGGATCTCACATGCCGACGTTTTACTTGAGCGCGCAATACTGAAACAAAACTCCGCCCGAGCAACAAAAAGAGACGAAGAAGATTGACACGTACAGACAAATCAAAAAGACGACATTACCAAATCTTGGCTGGACGCAGCAAAACCATCGGGCGTTGCGGGATAATTTGGCAGTATAGAGACGAGCTGATGATGGAATGAAATCAGCAGTATTGTCGTTGAGTACAAGCGTATTTTTCTATCCACGGATGCGGTAAGCAAATGCTCTTATTGAATGTTGCGAAGCCTGCATTGAGTACTGGGCTTAACGGCAAAGATTTTCTCGTGCTTACGAACGTTACTGTAGATTTGAGTCTTACTTCGTACTTCATACTTCGTACTTCATACTTCGTACTTCATACTTCGTACTTCGTGTACCGTGGCAAACGCAACTTCCTCACTACGTTGAGACGCGTAAGACTTTGACATGCAGCTAGCATGATGTCGACCTGCCTACAAATCGTGCAACTGTGCCATCTACTGCATTTTACCTATAACGTCTGAAAGGGCAACACTTGCAGCAGCTTTAGTGAATCATTAAGCGACGTGTTCAGCCTCTAAATACAAGACGAATATGAACTAGCCTTATCAGCACTACTGAAGCTAGCGTTTCACCGCCAATTTCTGAACGGCTGTAATACTGCTTGCAAAGTCTCTGATACCTCGCGGAAACGCATTGTAGCCCTACAATCAAAGTACAACTTTGTATGAACTTGCTAGACAAGAAATTTACCGTCACCGCTGATACTTACAATCGGTAGAACGCGAAGGCGCTAGCAATCGGGGCTTGGAGGTGAAAGACATAGAATGTCGGTGTGGTATTCGGCACTTTGAATGTGGCAATCCAGGCAACTATGAT